GGGATCTCGTTGATATATCCGTTGCCTCCCATAAGCTGGATAGCATCGAGACTGCACTCGGTAGCACGCTCTGCGGCGTACAGGATGGCACCGGCACAGTCCTGTGTCTTCACCTGAGCTCCATCAGGGGAAACGGCAGACTGGTCAACTTGTCGGGCAGTGTTATAGGTGAAAGCTCGAGAGGCAGCAAGTTTGGTGTACATGTCAGCGAGTTTTCCTTGGATGAGCTGGTTGTGCGCAATTGGCATGCCGAATTGGGTACGGGTGTGAGTGTATGGAAGTACGAGGTCGAGACAAGCTTGCATGATACTGGAGAAGTTGATTAGTCTTAACACTCTTTGAATCACCGCGCATATGGAAAAGGTATCTTACCCTAGTGGTCCAGCACTAAGAACAAGACGCTCTAGGTCAAGTCCCTCCATCAGAACCCTAACTCCCTTGTTGAGCTGGCCTAGAACATTGGCGTGTGGGACAAAGACATCCTCAAAGATGAGTTCACCAGTGTTGGATCCACGCATGCCGAGCTTGTCGAGCTTGCGGGCACAGGAGAAACCCTTGAAGTTCTTCTCGACGACGAAGGCGGTGATACCCTTTGAACCAGCATCAGGTTCGGTTTTGGCGTATACGACGATGAAGTCAGCGTCAGGGCCCTTGAGATTCCCGTTAGCCATAAAATTCAATCTTTTGCGGGAGAAGTCCAAAACCTACGTTGGTGATCCACATCTTGGTGCCGTTGAGGACAAATCCGCCATCAACAGCCTTAGCCTTGGTCTTCATGCTCACAACGTCGGAGCCGGCAGAGTGTTCGGACATGGCAAGAGCTCCAATCTTCTCTCCGGAGATAAGACCGGGCAGGAAGCGCTCTTTCTGCTCTGGCGAGCCATTGAGGCAGAGCTGGTTGACACAAAGCTGGGAGTGAGCAGCGTATGAAAGTCCAATGCTTCCTAGGTAATGTTAGAACTTATGCTTAAACATAGTAAACTAATAAATGAACGCTTACCTGAAGCACGGCTAAGTTCTTCCATCACCACGCAGTGTGCCTGATAACCCATCCCGAGACCGCCATATTTTTCCTCTGCAGTGACACCCAAGAAACTTCGTATAACCGTTAGCCGTCAATCGTAATGCATATCGTTGGACAGTGTGGTAAGTAGCTACCCGGCTTCGCCAAACTTCTTCCACATCTCGGGGGGGAACTGGTTCTGCTCGTCGGTTCTGGCAGCGACCTCCTCTGGAATCTCACGCTCTAAACACCGTCAGCACTATCCTCAGCAAGCTAACAACCCCTTACGTTACACATACTGGCAAACTCCCGGACGGTATCCCGAAGCTCGTTCAGCTCATCTTCGGTTGGGGGAGTGAATCCCTGGGGGTGTTTTGTGGAAGCTGCCCGCCATGCGGCAACAGGTACAAACTGCCTCCGGGCGGCCAGGGTAGCTCTGGGGGCAGAACGGCCGAGGAAACGAGGAAGAACCGACGATGCCATGGTGATGAATGCCTTGATAGAGACAGAGATAGAGAAACACGCAGCAAAGACAGAGCAAAGTAGCAACTCTGGCGGCGACGCGGACGAAAGAAAAAAGACGACGAAGTTGCAAGCTGCCTCTTTCGGCGCCTCGGCTGACCTTCCCTTTCGGCCCAGCGGGCGCGGCTTGCGGCGGCAATACCGCCCGGTAACGCCAGTACCGCGCGTGGGGCTCTTTCGGCTAACTTCCCCTTCCAGCTCTATTTTTCCGGCGTCAAAAACGACCCGAAGAGGAAATCTTTTCGACGTCGCGATATCAGAAACGAAAACATCCAGCGAGCGACGCAGAGACGGCGAGGCTGATTATCGCAGAACCTGAGACCTGGAGCTGAGAATGATAGTAGGATAGGCCGTGGACGCTTCAATCTGTTGTTTACACCCTACGTCTCCGTGCAATTGGAGCTTCGTTGACCGATCATGGCTGCTCTCCGCGCCCCCTCTGCCGGGCTGCTGCACAGCATGCGGTGCGCCCTCAACCAGCAGCTCCCTCGACGAGCAGCAATCACACTGAAGCCGGGCTCCAGCTACCGGGTCAGGAGTGTTGCCAGCTTCACGCACGCTCACCAGGCGTCTGCCATCTCTGTGCTGCCCACCACCGTCGATACCTCGTCTGCAGACTTCCAGGAGAATGCTAAGCAGATGGAGGAAGTGCTCAAGAAGATGAGCGACCTGCATACCAAAATCGCCCAGGGAGGATCCCAGAAGGCCCGTGAGAAGCACATTGCACGTGGGAAGATGTTGCCTAGAGACCGAGTGACCGCCCTTATCGACCCGGGCACCTCGTTCCTCGAGCTCTCCCCCCTGGCCGGCCACGAAGTCTACCCCGGTGACGATGTGCCCTCCGGTGGTATTATCACTGGAATTGGTATGGTCGAGGGCGTCAACTGCATGATTGTTGCCAACGACAGCACCGTCAAGGGTGGCACCTACTACCCGATCACCGTCAAGAAGCATCTGCGTGCCCAGGCCATTGCTCAGGAGAACAAGCTACCCTGCATCTACCTTGTTGACTCCGGCGGTGCCAATCTGCCTCACCAGGCCGATGTCTTCCCAGACAAGGAGCACTTCGGCCGTATCTTCTTCAACCAGGCCCGTATGAGCTCCCTCGGCATCCCCCAGATCTCCGTTGTCATGGGCCCATGTACCGCCGGTGGTGCCTACGTTCCCGCCATGAGCGACGAGTCTATCATTGTCGAGAACCAGGGAACCATCTTCCTTGCCGGACCGCCGCTAGTCAAAGCAGCTACCGGTGAGATCGTCTCTGCCGAAGACCTTGGAGGCGGCAAACTACACTCCACCATCTCCGGCGTGACAGACTACCTTGCCGTTGACGACGCCCACGCCCTCACCCTCGCTCGCCGCTCGATATCAAACCTGAACTGGCCCAAGACCACCTCCCCCTTGACGCCCACCTCGACTTCCACCGAACCCATCAAGGAGCCCCTGTACCCAGCCTCCGAGCTGGCCGGGATAATAGGCACCAATCTCCGCCGCCAAGTCGACGCACACGAAATCATCGCCCGTATCGTCGACGGATCTGAATTCTCCGAATTCAAGCGCGACTACGGCACCACCCTCGTCACTGGCTTCGCACGCATCTACGGCACGCAGGTCGGCATCGTAGCTAACAATGGCATCCTCTTCTCTGAGTCCTCGCTCAAGGGCGCACACTTCATCGAGCTGTGCACCCAACGAAACATCCCCTTGCTCTTCCTGCAGAATATCTCTGGTTTCATGGTCGGAGCCGATGCCGAAAAGGGCGGTATTGCGAAGAACGGCGCCAAGCTTGTGACTGCTGTTGCTTGTGCGGATGTCCCCAAGTTCACTGTTGTGTACGGTGCCAGTGCTGGTGCAGGTAATTACGGAATGTGGTATGTGTTACCCCCCCCCCCCCCCTTTTATCATTCTACCTAAGTTAGAAAGAAAAAAAAAAATTGGTCTGAGACACCCTTGAGATTAAAATCGTTATACTAATTTATGTATGCATTTGCAGCGGCCGTGCATACTCACCCCGGTTCCTCTTCATGTGGCCTAATGCAAAGATCGGCGTCATGGGCTCTGAGCAGCTAACTAACGTCATGGCTGCGGTCGGCAAGAGCGTCGACCCCTCGCTGCGTGACCGTATCGACGCCGAGAGTGAGGCTGTCTTCTCGTCTGCTCGTCTCTGGGACGACGGTGTCATTCCTCCGGCCGATACTCGAAAGGTTCTAGGACTATGTCTAGCAGCGTCCGTCGGCGGGCGTTCAGAGGAAGCAAAGACCAAGTTTGGTGTTTTCAGGATGTAAATCTTTGTCATCCAAGCTGGTCTAGTTCCTTAATTTTTATAGCCTCCTTTTTATTCATTTTTGGTAGAAGATACGAAGGGGATCCGCCGGGCAGGAAAATAGAATCATGTACAATTAACTACAGTTGCTCAGAGTGCGGTTTTGAGGTTGAATTTTGCTTGCTTGCTTGCATTCTTGCTTGCTCCATATACATAGCCCAGCATGATAAAAATCTATTCCATAGATAGTAGATATATAAGGGGAAAAAAAAGTTGAAAAGGCATTGTAACGATTTCACATCAGGAGGGGATATCAAGTGAGACGGACAAGCTGGCAGGTAAAAAAAAGAAGTAAAAAAAAAGAAGAAGACAAGGACAGCGTGTATAAGAGCCGGTAATCAATAAGCAGGATGGAGGGAAAAGGAAAATATATATACACAGGATGATGAAAGGAGTCCCGTACTTTTTTTTTTGCCTGTGATGGCTCGCTGGAATGAATGCTTTGCTGGAGTCAAGTCATGATTATATCGTGATAAAAAAAGAAGGTCTTCTCTCTGCTCTTGTTCTCTTCCTTCTTTTTCGTTCTTCCATCTTGACAAGGGGGAAAAAAGGGGGAGTGAGGGAGGGAGGCGCGGAGGTAGGAATAATATCCAAGAAAGCGGGTGTGAAAGGAAATATAACAAAAGGGAAACTTTTCGGAGGGAGTTGGCGGTGGGTTTGTTTATAGAAACAGTAATATGTATATCACGAAATGAAGGGGCGGTGTGTAGTGGAGTGTAGTATGGTAGGAGGATCAGGATCAGGTTGAAAGAAGAGGATGGAGGAAGTAAGTAGATCTTCAGAGATGTAAAAAAGAAAATAGTAGATAGATGAGATATCCAAAAGAAAAGAAAAGAAAAATAAGACAACAAACCAAAGAGCAAACCAGTGATGCGGAAGGGGTATAATTAAGGCGGACAAGACAAAACAAAGGACGGACGGACGAATCACCTGCAGGAAAAATATGGCTGACAAGAGTACGATAAAGGCCAGGCAAATATGGAGCAAACGCACGGAGGAGACAAACGAGGCGGGAGAGAGAGAGGGAGAGAGGGAGAGAGGGAGAGAGGGCGAGAGGGAGAGAGGGAGAGAGGGAGAGATTGAGAGAGAGAGAGAGGCGGTGACGGTCAAAGAATCACACAATCAGTCTTCATCTTCGTCCTCCTCCGATTCCGCCGCTTGTCGGCTGCTCCGCTTGCCTCCTTCTTGCGACTCCCTCCGTAGTCTCTATCTCGGTCTTTATTGGATCGGATATCCTTCCGTATGATCTGCCGACAGAGGTCTATGAAGGCTTCGTCTACGTTCGCTCGTCTTCGTGCGGAAGTCTCGTAGTATGGAGCATTCCCCCACTGCTGGGATAGAGCGAAGGCCCGCGATCGTGAAACGGCGCGGTCTTCCTCGAGATCTGACTTGTTACCGACGATGACTATGGGGACTTTCTCGTCGTCTTTGATACGGATGATCTGTTCGCGGAGTTCTTGTAGTTCATTCAGGGAGGACATGCTTGTTATGGAGAAGACGAGGAGGAAGCCTTCGCCTTGTTTCATGTATAGTTCCCTAGAAAAACGGGTGAGCCTTGTGAGTTGCTGCTGCCGTATAGTAGAAGTAGTCGAGCAACTGGGGGGGTCTCGGGTTTGAAGGGGGGAGGGTCGCGGGTTTAGCTGGGGCTGTTTGAGGAGTGTCTGGGATAGAGTTTCATAGAGATTGAGTTACCTCATGGCGGCTATAGTTCAGCTTGTTAGTCTGGGGATGGCCGGGATAGTCGGGTGTATTGAGGTGGTGAGACTTACTGAACTGTTCTGTTCCAGCTGTATCCAATCTGCAGTCCAACGAGTCAGCAATTGTTGTAGATGCGGGTGAGTATCTAGTCGACACTTTCAGATAACGTACATTTCGAGAAGACATGGCCGTCCCTATATAAAGAATATTAGCGGGTATTCAGTTAGGTGAAAAGGAAAAAGCAGGCTGACACTCACATCTACTGCAAGGACCTTTCTGTAGGAATCTTCGATGGTCGGATCATAGCTCTCAATCCATATATTCTGTACGAACTGAGCTGGACGAGCAGTCAGCGCAAAAAGAAAACACCAAAAAGGGGATTGTATAAACCCGGCCAAGCTCTTACCGGTCAAACAGCTCTTCCCAACACCACCTGTAGGAACAATATGGTAAAATCAGCAAAACGTATTCCCCCCTCCCCGCGTCTCTCCTTATCATCACAGTAAATATGGTATATTGCCAGAGAGAATTGTGAACAAAAACAAAGAACCGGGACAAGAGAGATTCCTACCGGCGCCCAGCACAACGATGTGATATTCCCGCCTGACATGCCGATGACGAAAGTTAGCCATGAAGTTCGCGGGAAAGGCAGAGAAGGTGTGTTTGCGCGGAGAGTCCAGAGAAGCGCGCAGATGCGGCAGAGCCATTCTGGGCCTGGGGAAAAGCAAAGAAAGGGGGCCAGGTAGGAAGGGGGAAAAAAAAATAGGGACACAGCTGGAGGTGGGAGGAGGAAAAGCCAGAGAAGGGAGAGAGGGAGAGAGAAAAGGGAGGAAAAAAAGGGACCATCCATACCGTGGCTGGCTCTTCGATGCCATCTGAAAGGGCAAGCTTCGAGCTGTTTTTAATTAATAGGGACGGACGAGGAAGGGAGGCAGAGGTTTTTTTTTTTTTGTTTTTTTTTTTTTTTTTTTTTCCTTTTCCTGGAGAGGACGCGGCGTGGTGGATCGATGCTAAGGACGAGAGCCGGGGCAAGCAGTAGCTCAGGCGCTTCGACGGACAGGGAAGAAGAAGAAGAGAGCAGGAGAAGGCGTAGAAGGAGGAGAAGAGGCAGAGGCAGAGGGAGATAGCAGGCTGGCTATCTCTCCGTGGCCGGTGTCTTTATTTCCTGTCTCGCCCTGGGGTCGGCCCTGAAGAAGGGGGGGGGGGGAGGGGGGTGGAAGGCCGCAGGAAGGGTTCACCGTAGCACAGCCGCCAGTCACAGCAACGGCGACGGCGACGGCGAGACTGGGCTGGAGACGCTGGGCAGGTGGCAGCAGCAGCAGCAGCAGCAGGTAACTAAGTAAATTCGTAATAGCAGCGATAACGCCGGACGACGAGGCAGAGACAGGCGACCGACGCAGGAGACGGTCGAGCAAGGCCAATTTCCCTCCCCCCGAAACAGCCGGACAGTTTTGGCAGGTCGAGCGGGCAAGGGGGAGCGAGATGCCTGTCGACGGGAGGGAAAAGAAAAGAAAGCGAGCAGCAGACGACGAGGACGACGAGGACGAGGAGGAGGATGAGAGGATAGCAAAGCTGCGAGCTCAGTCGGCCAGAGCAGCGGGAGGGAGGACAGTCGTAGGGAGGCCGCTGGTGGTTGATGCTGGTGGTTAGTTAGTTAGGGATGTTGATGATGCTCGACCATGCGCGTCTGGCGAGCTGCGGCGGCGGACGAGGATCGCGAGGGAGGACGAGCTAGGGCGTTTCAGCGGCGGGACAGCCTGTTCGGTGCCTTGTCGCAGGCTGGCTGGCCGTGTAAGGATCCTGTGTATCTCTCGCGGTGGTCTCGCTGGCGTGTCTGCGTCGTCTGTCGTCTGGGGACAGCGAGAGGAGAGGATGAAAAGAATAACAATAATAATAGGAGAGACGGCGGCGGCTCAGGTCGAGAATTACCTAAGAAGGCTAACTGGAGACGAAGACGATGAAGACGATGAAGACGATGAAGAGGAAGAAGAAGAAGAAGAAGAAGAAGAAGAAGAAGAGAAGACGAAGACGAAGCGATGACGATGGCATCTGATATGTTTTCTTTTCTCCTCGACAGGCCCCCTATCTGCCTGCCTGCCTGGCTGTCTGTCTGTCCGTCTATCGGTCTACCTATCTATGTACAGCAAGCATCTCGCGGCCTCTCTACAGCAGCATCCCACGGCGATCGTCACTCAGCCCTCAACGGCTGCTCCGGCGTCCTCCTCCTGCTGGCGACCACCCACGGTCGAGATCAGGCATCAACCAGCTCGCTACTCACGGCTCGGGGGGGGGATTGGGGGGGGGGATGGGGGGCGCTTCTTCCCTTAGGGCCCAGCACCAGCACCGCCAGCAGCAAGCCAGCAGCAAGCCAGCGCTGCATCATCATAGGGCCAGGGACTCTCTGCCTGCGCTCTCTAGCCTGCCCACCCGTCTTTCCATTACCCCGGCACCGGCTCCCTCCTGTGCGTCGTATTGGTGGCCGCCAGCACGCTATACAAGCCCGCCAGGCTGATCACCCACCGCTAAGCTGTGATGGGTCCCCCAACTGGACGCTGGGCCAACTGTCCGGCGGCGCTGCCATTCAGGGAGCTCGAGCTAGCTAGCTAGCTGGGCCCGGGGAACCCTCGTTGTCGGGGTCGGGGGGCGGAAGACGTTGGTTAGGTCGGGGGGAGGAAGGGCCACCGGGTGAAAAAGAAAAGAAAAGGAGAACCGATGATGAAATGATGAAATGATGAAAGGATGATATGATGAAATGATGATATGATGATGATATATATGTACGTACGGGAGTAAATATATATAAGTAAGTATATATATAAATGGACCGGGCACGAACCATGCAGACCAGTTTGAGACGGGACGCATCTGAGATATAGGTCATGGATGGCCCCAGCTAGTGGTGTGAGCTGCTGCTGCTGCTGCTGTGCTTTTTTAGCCATCGAACCAGTCAGCTCGGACAGGTCGACTCGGTGTTGCCATCTTACTGGATCAGAACTGCGTGCGTTGGTGGGAGAACGAAAATTGAAGCTGTCCAAAGTGGCGCTGCTCCAGCAGTCGGTATCACGATCGACCGACCACGATACACGGGACCGTGTGCTCTCGTACGCCAGTCAATCAGTCAGTCCGTCAGTCACTCAGTCACTCAGTAGTCAAGTCTCAGTAGTCAAGTCTAACTGGCATAGTCCACAAAGCAGGTGTCGTCTGCTGGCCCGTCAAACTGCTCGGTCAGCTTGGCCGGCGCCGTCCGTGTCTGGCTGCTCAGCGCCTTAAAGACATGCGGGAACACCAGCTCGTCCACGTCTCGAGCCCACAGAAAGTCGAGATGCTCGTAGTGTGCTATCTCCGTCGCCGTCGTGTGCGCGGGCAGCTCCTCCAGCATCACGTCGATGTCCACCAGGCTGTCCGACCCGCCGTAGACCAGCACAATCGGCGTCTTGATGTTCTTCGTCGGGAACTTGGCCGGCTTGTAGAAGCGTGACTTGGCCGCGATGCTCAGCTTCGACCCGGCGTTGTCGTCGTACATCTGGAAGCTCTTGTTGCGGATGATCTGGAACCAGTGCACGACCGACTTGGTGCTCGTCGACGAGTACAGGTGCACGTACGCCGCCAGCTTCTGCACCGTGCTGATGTTCTTGCCGCTCCAGTTGAACAGGAACAGCAAGGCTGTGTCGATGATGCGTACAAAGATGGGCGGGTACAGGATCGCCTGCCACATGGCCGTCGAGCTAAGGATGCTCCGTCGTCCAAAGGCAAGAAACATCACGTCCGGAGACGCCTTCACCAACGCGTCCACTACCCCGTTGCTGAGCCCGGCCGGAGACATGGCCGGTGCCAGCGCGATGAACAGGTTGATCCGTCGGTTCAACGTTGGGTGAATCGACAGGGTTGCAAACGCCTGCGCCGTCCCCTGAGAGAACCCAATATACGACAACGACGGCTGGCCCGTCACCGAGAGGATGTAGTCGATGCTGTCCGGGATATCGTGGAACGCAAACTGGTCGATCGAGAAGTCCCAGAACGCGCTGTAGGACGGAGACATCGTCGTCGCCTTCTTCGAGTACTTGTTGCCCCGGTTGTTCCCCAGCCAGACGTCATATCCCAGCTCCACCAGCCGGAAGGGCAGACATCTCTTCTCTTCCGTCAAACACACCCACACCTCGCTGCTCATCAGCAGCCCGTGGTGCAGATACACAACGGGCTTCCGCGACGCCTCGTTGTCCACATCGTTGCTGTTCTCATAGACATGTGTCTCGCCCTTCCGCCATGGCAGCCTATGGAGGCCCAACAGATAGCCGTCTTTCGTCTGCACGACATGCTCCTCCGTCTCGTAGCCGAACAGATCACAGAGCTCTGTAAACTCCGAGGCCTTTGCAACCTCCGCAGATATGCTCTCTTGCTTCGGGCGTCTAGGCTGCGCCGCAGACAGCACATGGAACAGCCTCTTGGACTGTCGATAGCAGAGATTTATAATCGGTTGAGCTGCACTTTGCAGTCAGCAAGGTTCCATCATCATCATAAGACTAAAATGGTGGTGGGTATATAACTATCTCGGTCCAAACTCACGCAGGCAGAGGGTAATGACATGGATGATCCCTTCTAGAAACACCAGTCCCAACGAGATAAAAAGAGCAATATACTCCGTCCTAATCCACCCAGGCAGTCAGCAATCCAGTATCTCGTTTTCTTTTACCCATCTTCGTAACTCCGTCCTGTACTCTCTCTCTTTCTCCTCTTCCCCTGGCTTACCATAGAAGACGCCCAATGAACGGGACGCGTGCCATAGTACCAAAACCACCCGGAAAAACAACAGGGACAGAAGTAGAACCCCCTGGTCTTAGCCCTGGCAAGTCACCATCGATCTCTGCCTGCTTCGTCCTCTCTCCTTCTTCTTCTTCTTTCTCTTCTTCTTCTTCGCCTCGTCGTCTTCGTCTTTTTTATATCTTCAAACTTGCAGCTTTTCGCATGTGAAAAACAAACCTTACGTCATCGAAAGCACGGGGACCTTGCTTAATCAGGAATCACGGGACCTGGCCTCTAACCCAATCAGGATGAAGCTTTTGATATATCGAAAAGAAAAAGCAGCGAAACGAAAGCGACGACGAGGGCGAAGAAGAGACGCCGAAGAGACGCAGAAATAGCTGAGCGGCGCGTTATAGAGACGGGGGGACGAGCACACGACTGCCGCAATGCCGAGCTCGTGTAAAGACCTGCGTACGTTGGACCCGACTCACTCAGTTTGGCTTGTGGCTCGGTCATGAGCGCTTCTCATGGCTGCACCATATGACACACCCCTTCGCATATGACATGACATTGAACGTTGAAACGTTGAAACGTTGAACATTGGAAAACAGCCCCCCCTTGCGGAGCAGATGGGTAGTCCGCTAACACCTGCAACAGGCCAGGCACTGGCCGAATGCCTCCAGGAATCAGACTGTATCATGGTCCAGCGGAACACACCCCAGGAATGTCTGCGTTCCCCAAACCTCGAGCAATTGCCTATCAAATGCCAGCAGCTGAAGAAAGGCCTCAGCGAGTGCAAGTACGGCTCCTCTACCGACCCCCTCTCACACCCTCCCCAATCCGTTACTCAATCGAGGCTAATCATATGCTAGACGAGGAATGGTAGACATGCGCAAACGGTTCCGCGGCAACCAGCCCTTCCATCTCGCCAAGGAGACAGACAGTGTTACCGGCGAGGTCGTCGAGAAGAAGAAACCGGTTCCTCAGCTCTACGCTGGTCGGCCGGCGTACCAGGGTGTCAAGGAGATAAGCGGCGACGAAGTGCAGATGGACCCTGAGAAGACCAGGGGTTTGTAAGAGCCGACCTTGTGATTTGCCGGGTGCTCCGTGTAGGATGCTTTTCTATGTCTAAGTATTTCTGCAGGGTGGGGAGAAGGGAGTTTCTTAGACTTGCATATCTATTTTACTTTGCTCCGAAGCATATAGGGAAACTTGACGAGCATGGGCGTTTTTGATTTTGTTTTTTTTGGGCTATAAATGTACAATATGGAAATGTCTCTATTATCAAGAAACTAGAACTCCGCAGATATGTATAAAAAAACAAATTTTCACGACTCTTGAGGAAAATCATACCGTCACTTTTTTTTCATGTATAATACAAAGTAGCCGGTTCAATCCACTTGCCATGAAGTACATAAAGAGCTGGAAGACCCATTCCCAACGCTGCATTTATTGATATACTGTTTTATTTATCCCATTAGATCTTGCTTTGAATGCCCAATTCTATTGCTCCTTTTTAGAATCGCTGCTTTTCATTGGTGGTGCAGAATACAACCAAACCATCACGAAGGCGAGGAACCCCCCGATGACAGACCAGAGTCCGGCAATCCACACCCATCCACCGCTAATACTCCAGTTGCGTGGCCACTCATCGTGGGCGAAATGGCGGACGGTGACTTCATGTTTCTCTTCAATGTTGGTGATGAATGGTCGCTTGTAGTTGACGCGGAAGGAGAAGATGCCATGCTGGTCAGGAAGGGTGAAGGAGGTTCTGTAAATGGCCGCGTGCTCGGTTCTATCCACGGGTTGCAGGTTAAGACGGTGGAAGGGGGATAGCATGGTGAATTCGAGTTGGATGGCATCTTCTTCTGCGGTCCAGTAGGGTATCCATTGGTCATAGCTGTATTCTGAAAGCTCAATAGTGAATGTCTAACATTGTAACGTTAGTACAAAGTCATCGGACTTAAGCCACAAAAAAGAATTACGTACCACATCGTTTTTGATACGGTAGATAGATGGGTTAAGCTCCTTGGGCCCGGACTCAATGTCACCCTTCTCGTTCAAATGATGTTCAACCCGAGTGACCTTCACCACACCAGTCTCCTGGAAGGTCCAGGCGGTAAGCTGTTGGGCAAACTGCTTGTTGGCTGTCTCAACTTTCTCGCCCTTAGGCGCTTGCACCTTGGCATTGAACCACTCATCTTTCAAACTATCAACTGATCCAAGGACTGTGACTCTCGCCGAATTCCTTGCCTGCATAGCAGTGGCCAGAGCAAGCTGCGAGCCAGTTGGAAGCTTCTGGTCGATTGACTGGTCGTCATCTCTCTTGTCATAGCTATAAGCTGTCGCGGGGGCTCGGATGATAGGAGCTAGTAGGGGGCTGTTGTTCCCCAGAGACTGTCCAGCAACATTTGGGAGGGCGAGGATGCCCTCTCCGTTGAAGAAGGGCTTGGTATCGGGACGTAGCCTCTCCGGTCGTGGTAGAAGGAGGACATTGTGTTTCTCCGCGGAAGAAATGGTATCATAGTTGAAGTGGTCGACAACAATCGGGGCTCTGTCCGGGGAGAGATGTATGTCGAGTTCGAGGAGAAGAGAGCTGACTCCGTTGGGCGTTGGAGCACCACCCGACAGTGCAACTAGAATGTTTCCATTGTCGTTGACAAAGTCTAGCAGTGCCTTTGGCGTCAAAGAAGGTCCCAGGCCTATATACTCGCATTAGCATGATGCCACCTGTACCCATGCCACATGCCCACGGAGTTGCCATGCTGCACCTTTAGATTTTGGCGGGAGAAGTATGAGATGGTCGTAAGCCCTGGCTCCAAGGTGGTAGAGCGAGAGCTTCGTGTTCTTTGGAGACTCGAATGTAAGTTTGTATCCTCGACCTAGCAAGACGCATGCCTGTTAGCCATACCGCAGCCTGCAATAGACGAGAAGCAGGGTTACATCTTTAATATGCAACAGAAAGACTAACTTTCTAGGTCTGCCCAGAAGGTCGAAAATAGATCTCGTTCAGTCTCGTCTTCCTGGACAACGAGCAGCCTGTTTCCAGTACTGCTCACGGCGTACACTGCTGCGCTGTAGATACTCAGGCATAGAAAGGTAAGCAGCCACTTCATCGTGGAGCTTGGCTGGCGGTGCTGTGGTGGATCAAGAGGGGATGCGAATTGGTTGCTTTCGGAGGCAGGCAATGGCAAAAAAACAGCTTTCAACAAAGACCTTTATGCGACGATAGCCTGAGTATCATCGCGATCCCCGTATTGTTGGTGGTGAGAGCTGCTCCTGGGCGCATTCAAACAATTAGTTGTAGTGCTGTTGGTCGTTCGTTAAGATTCGCAGTCTAAAGAGACCAGCGTGTTAATCAGCGGCGGACCGTGCCAAGACCAGGACGAAGCGCAGGCCAACCACAAACAGCGAAAAGCAACATCAGAAAAGCAGAACCAAGATCAGGCACCGGAACAAAAACACCATTTGGACGCCGACAGATAGCTCGATAGACGCCCTCGTTGCGCTGACGGCCAATTCGACGAACGAGATTCTCCGTTCTACCTGTCAATTGGGACATCTTCCCGCCACCTGAACCGACTCAACTCTCTTTCCGCTGTCCAACAAACCGTTCACGATGTCGAGACCCTTCTTCTTCTCCCAGCCATTCCGCTACATGCGATGGGCTTCCTACGAGAAACCAGCTATCTTCTATTCTATCGTTCTCGGCTCTCTCGGCCCTGTAGCGCTCTTCACTCTTCCCCCAATCAGGCGGTACTTCGGCGACGTTGACCCCGCGGAAATTCCTTTCTCATATCCAGGTATGCCTCCAGTTCCTCTATATCTGGCGAGATTTATTGCTGACCTATTACCCTCCTTTTCCTGCTGATAGTCCCTGCTGGCCCAAGAAAGATACCTCAAGGATACGATGACGAGTAGATGTGGATGGAAGAAGGCCAAAATATAGATTCCTTTGGCGGCTTGAGTTGCGAATTACCCACATTATTTCAGATCATTTCTACTCGCATGTTTCGATATCATCACCCCAGCACGGCTATAATATCGAATAAAAATTAACGTTGATGGTCGTGGATCAGGCCCACGGATATCGCTGAGTCGAATGGCAGTATAACCGTATGGAGGGCAAAATACTGGTACCAACCGCATGACAACAACCGCGCTCCTTTTTACGCCATCTTTTTTTTTTTTTTTTTTTTTTCACTACTTCTGTACATATATGTCATATTAGCGGCCATTCAATTGGTTCTTCGGTTCCATTCCATGCTCTCCCGGCACAATTGATATTTATGAGGCAGCATTAAATGGTTACTCGGATTAATTCGGATATGAGCACTTGCATATCTACACGTTCTCAATAAAGGGATGAATGATTTAAAGTGAAGATGAGAAATGTTAATGGGCCACTCAGATGAAAAATATGTATTAAACGCCCCCCGATGCAACTATCTAGAATAGAAAGGATAATCATGACCACACGATCTTTTATTCCTTTGCACAACGGCGGCGATGTAAAAGACCAAAAGGCTCCGGAATACGAAATAATCTCACCATCGAAAGGACGAGAACAGTTTATCGGGAAGAAAGCTATCAAAGGGGTATGGTATGTATGTAAGCATGTAGCCCGGCATTGTGCATTGCGTAAGGATGACGTTTGTAGTTCGAGGTGAGCGGAAACGACGGAAAGGTCCAATTATTGAGTATTCACCAGACAGTATCGAACAGGTAAAGTAGCAAGTTAAACGAAAGAGTATATCGAGGAAAAGGTAAAAAAAAAAAGGGGGGAATCCTAATGCATCCATCGAGAACGCGCCCAGCTGTACATTCAACATTGGCATGGAAGTTTGGAAGACGTGAGTGAGACCTATAAAGGAGAAATTGTCGCAAGAATAAAGAGACACGATTGTGCAAAATGGTTTCAAAACAGCCTGCCCAGTTTTACGAGTAACGTCCTTGGTGGAACTGAAACGATAGAAAAGATAACATGAATGGGGGTTGAGGAGAGAGTAGGTAAATTCAGAAGAGGAGAATAACGGCCTTGATGTGAATTCCAGCGTGGCTCTGAATTGATTCCATGGGATATTGAAGCATCAGTGGGCTCGTTGCAGTATGAAAATATAAACGCTTGATTTCAAATGAAATCGATCAAGTATCCATCCATGCTTAGAGTAGCATATTCCTGCGGCAGGAGTGGGCTCCGCAATAGGGGAGTCCCGATATCATCATTCATTCATTCGTTCACTCATTTGTAGTCCAGATAAAACAAAACACATCCAAAATCCAGCCACTGTAGTTGAGTGGGGAATAAGATCGACTATATGGGGTTGATTATCCACATGCCAGGGAGAATTGCCCGGAGACGTAATGTGAAATAAAGGGGGTAGCCGAAGGGGTTGGTTCAAACAAATGTGAAAAGAATACATGTCCTAGAAGAAAGGGGAGATATTCTGGTGCTATGCATTTAATGACGAGGGGCAGGATTCCTAGGGTGTCCTCGGTCTGGCTGACGGTCCTGGTAGGCAGATTCCACTGGATATCCGGTCTCCATTATCCTGGGATCTGGTCCGGTTGATGGAGGGTATGGAGATGTAGACTGGCCAACAGGAGAATAATCACGGTCATTCTCATATCCTTGTCCAGAGTAGCGGGGTTGGGATATTCCTCCAGGGTAGGCGTAGGCACCTTGACTATGGATATATGATTGCTCAGCCGTTGTTACAGGTGGAGTGGACTGGGTTGAGTAGGGTGGTCCACCACTGGGGACGTAAGAGCTACCCTCTTGCGGGTATCCAGGCTGGGTACCGTAGTCTTGGTAGCTTGGCTGGGGCTGATGGGCAGGGTATGGTTGGGTAGGTGGGTAAGTAGAATATGATGGTTGTTGTGGTTGCTGTGGACGTGAGGACGAGTATGCTACTGGTGGTCGGGGTCGGACAGAAGAGGAGTCATAGTTTGCTGGTGACCTGTTAGGTACTGGTGGGGTATTATAAGTATCATAGTAGGTACCTCTAGGCTGTCCACCTTCTTGTCTGCTACGGACTTCGACGTCCCATCGCCTAGAATCTGCTTTCAGATCTGCAATCATTTCCTGTTTCAATCACGTGGTTAGAAGGGCGATTATCAGTAAAACCATAGAGAAGATCACCTACAGTCGTCAAATTTCGGTAAGCACGAATGAAATACCCCGGACGTCCCTATTCATTTAGTCAGTAACTTCAGTCCTGGGTCCAGACGGAAAGATTGTAAAAGGATATCTCAGGAAGGGGAAAAAAAAAAATTAAATAAAGGAAGAAAAGAGGGGGGGAAGAGAGAGTCCGACCTGGTGAGTTCCAGGCCTCACGAGGGCATCCCGTCCAAGATAACGGCAAATATCTGCTTGGATGACCTCACGGCTGATACCATCTTGATCGATAAAATATTCATTGAGTCGAGTCTGAGGCTCCGGATCATCATATCTTATGGGTTGTCGCTGTGCCATTTTTATTTCCAAGGTACAGAAACAGAGATGAGAAAGAAATAGAAACTAAAAACCCAGGTTTTCACGGCTTGAAGGAGAGAGATGAAGGAGTCCTAGTCCAGATGGAAGAATGTACAGATATCCCAAGTTTATGTCTCCGGAAAATTGAAGCAGGCCGAAGACGGGCGTATCTGGAAGAGGTATAATGTTTCCTGGTGCTTTAACAAAAGGGGGATCCAGGGCAGAGCAAGACAAAAGTGGAACAGCTGTGAAAGGAAAAGAAACCTCTGGGAAGAGAAAAAAAAAAGCAGCAAATCGTTAAAAAAAAAAAAAATAATGAAAAAGTCAAGTGACACAGGGAGAAAATCCTAGAGGGCTGATAGATGCATATATGTCCTTTGGGTTAGGTGAGTTCTCAGGCAGAAAGATACGAGGTTCTCAGCGTTCTTTTGGCGCCTGAAAGTGAGGACTCCTTTTGCGATCTTCTTTTTTTTGTTTTTGTTTAGTGTATGTTTCTTTTTTTTTTCTTTGATTCTGCAGTATCTTCCCTAAGAGAGGAATATAGATGTGTGTGTAAGAGTGTATGTGTAAACCTGGATGCAGGGGGAGGTGTTTCCTTGGGAACGGATCCAAATGGCGGATGTAACAGTCCTCTTTTGGGGTCCAAAAAATAATAATATACCCACAACAATACCAGAAGCCGTGTGCAACTGCTCCTCAAAAGGTATGGTGATGTAGTAGTATTGGAAGTAGATATTGTGTCTATGGCTGAAACAGAAGTAATCCCAGATGGAGAGTGGCCGGGGGAGTCCTACGGGAAGCCTGCTGGTTCACTGTTGGAAATGTGGTATTGAGAGCGACCGACTGAGGGCGAGACCGGGCGCAGAGACAGTCCTTTGGCCAGCAGCACAACTTGTCACCTCTTGAGATGCGGCAGAGATGCAGCAGGGTGATAGAGAGCAAGCACAGAGAGATAGAGAGATAGAGAGAGAGAGAGCGCGTCGCGAGAGCTGGAGCAGCAAGCTTGAGGTTGAAGAGACGAAGTTGAGAAAACGGCGGAAGAAAGGGAAGAAGAGGAAAAGAAGGAAGAAGGAAGAAGGAAGGAAGAAAAAAGGCGAGACGACGCAGCAGGAGAGGAAAAAAGGCGCCAGGAGGGGCAAAAAGTGGGTCGGCGAGCGGCAGGCGGTGATTGGCTGGCTGCTGGATTGGGTAGTTATTATTGTTTGCTTGGGCTGGACAGGGCGAGGAGGAGGAGCAACAACAAGAAAGCAGAAGAAGACGACGACGGGGACGGGGACGGGGACGAGGGACGGCGAGACGAGATAAGCGAGGTGAAAAGGAGAGACGGGCAGGGCAGCTGGGGGGGGGTTTAGCTGGTTAAGGTGACGATAAAGGTGAGTGGTAACGGGTAGCTAACCACGGTTCAGCGTGTTACTAACACCAGGACAGGGCAGCAGCAAACTCTACGCAGTACGGACGGCGGTTTGGACGAGCAGATCGGTCGACCAGAACAAGGGCTTGTCCATCTGATAGAGTTATGCCGGCTCGAGATCAACGCCTGAAGAGCCTGTCTGGCCCCCTTATCCTCCCTGAAAATTTTCAGTCTCGACGGCGTCCGACATGGCTGCAAGAGAGGGCGGGCTGATTGGGTGCGGTGTTGCCGCTGCTTGTTAGGCACTCATGCAGCTCTCCCTTGGGCACTCACCCAACCCTCCCACACCTCCGCTGCTGATACACACCACAGACAGCCCAGCAGGCCACAGGTTGTCCACTCATACTCAAGTCTGAAGACCCTGTCCTTCCATGACTCCCTGCGTCCAGCAGAATCTCCCTCTCAGCCGCCTCGTACGGTCTGTCAAACAAAATAATAATAAAAAAAAAAAAAAAAAAAAAAAAAAAAACAACCTTCCCCTATGGAGACCTTGCTCAGGTGCCAACTACCAATAACATCCAAGTTAGGTGAGATTCCCGGGCATTTCTCTCCACTCTAACCAGCTAAACTACAGTGTTTTTCTGGCTGCAGGGGAGAGGGCTGATAAAATAATGATAGTACCATCCTACTGGATTCTTCTAAGCATGAAAAATCACCGCGCAAAAGCTGAGGTCGTACGGAGTATACTATCTGCCTGGGAAAAGAAGCTCCATATGTCCTTTCTGATGGATACGTGAGCCTCACGTCGCACTTTTCGGGATAAATAAACAAAACCTATGGAGACTACGGAGTACGAAGTACGAGGTACTCCGTACAGGTATATGTGATGTCGTTAATTATCGCGTGGCTGGTTTGGGGTTATATTGGCCCAGTTGAAAATGATCTCAGAGCGTTGCAGGTGGCTGGATATTCCTTTTTTGAACTGCGAACGAACCATCGATAAAAGAGATGGTAAGACGTCGGATCGGACCCTCCGACTCGTCAGATCTACGGAGTACATGGAACACCTAACTGGATGATATGGGCGACTTTTTCGGGACAAAAGGATGCTGAAGAGAGGATGTCCTTCTATCCTTTTGTGAGTTTAAAAGAAAGGCGGTGGGTGCTAACTGGTATATTCTTTCCGTTTCTATATTGGCGAATCACAACTAGCTATTGTCAAGGAAGGGCAAATTATGTCCAAATACCCTCAACTAACATTTTTTTTATGTATCATGGATATAATGGAACTTGCACGTCTCACAGCTTAGTCTGCTGCACGTGAGCAGCCGAGACGACTTTGAAATTCAGTCGCGGAAAGTGAATGCGGATATCAAACCTGCTATCTGCCGTCTTTCGTTGCAGCACTATCTCCTTTGAATTCAACCCAATAAGGGCCCCAGAATCCTGGTGAGTTGATCCTGAATCAGTGGGCCAAACCAGCACTTCCTCGCCCTGCTCAAGCCCAAGTGGATCTGAGTCATCGAATTCGACGTCAATTTGAGCAAACGACTCATACTGGAGACCGTCAAGCACTTCGCTGCCGGACACAAGCATCTCTTCCATCCTTCCCTTTGCGTGTGACAAGGCTTGCCTAAATCGGGCAATCCAAGCAAATACTTTGGGGTGGCTGGCCTCAGAGATGATGCTGTCTTTCAAGGATCCCATGTCAAGAACCCAGTCCAATGGCCAAATTGCTAAATAAGGGGAAAAAAAAAAAAATAACGCAAGAGAAAATGTCAGCCTCCCAATTGAATCCATGGAACCCATTTCCAGACATCCCACGAAATGTCCGGGACAAGCGAGGAGAAACAGGGAGCAAATGAGAGACATACCGTGTATATCTGCAAGGGTTGGCTTTTCCGTCTTGCGGAGCCAGTCCCTCCCATCTGCTAATAACGTTGATTCAAGAAAGTCAAAGGCACGCTTTACTTGAACCATCGCCTCGCTCCTAAGACTGGGCATATCCTCCATCTTCCACTTTGGACCGGTAAGGAAGGTAGATCTGTCCTTCAAGAATGCCGGGTCCCGTAAAGATGGCAGGTCAAGCGGCATCAGGAGAACTGCATTGAGAAACAGTCCTCCATCCGTCGACCATGTTTCAAGTAAGTTCTCCAGAGCTTGCCCTTCACCATCTGTGGCACCAAGCCTTCCGTCCGGGAACTGTTCCTCAAGCTTTTTGATAATCAAGCGAGTGTCACAGTATACGTCCTTCCCGATGCTCAAGACGGGAATTCGTCGGTATTGGACGCCGAGAGCCTCTAGGTCCGGCCGTGGCATAATGAGTGGTTGCAACTGAATATTCTGTCAACATGCATGCTCCCTGCTACGGGTAATAGGGTATTTTTTATCATACGCATTGTTTGTGCTGAATCCCACGCAGAGTGAGGTACCTTCATACCATTAGTTAATCAAACAACGTTCAATTTTTGGTGTCTCTTTTTTTGCTATTGGTAGAGCATCATTTAATTACATACCAAGAAACTCGCCTGGCATATGGCGACAGCGAATAGTGGAATAGGACTGGCTTTACTTCGGAAGACATAACTAGTTGATTCACAAGTTATCTGAGTTCAGAGTTGATGATCTTGGATAGACGAGTTACTTGAAATCCTGCTTGACTTTTATACCTAATGGCTGCTTCCCAAGGGGCGCGCCCTGGCGGCCGCCGGGGGTTTCAGGAGATGGCCCGGGATGCCGAGGCACAATGGAATATAGTTTACCCGCTGTTCATGTCGCTTATTTATCCAATTAAAGGAAAGTATAGCCTATCGACACGCGATAAATAGCCGCGCACTCGAACACAAATGGGAGGGGCTCTCTCGGGCCTCTATGGAGAAAACACCCTCTGAACCATGGACTTCACCCAAGGCTGATTCCTACGCGTAATTTAATTACAGTTTTCGCGTTTTCTATGTGTATTCACAATGCTCCCTCACTACTTAACGAGCAGCTATTTGCAATACAAACAAGATACCAATGCTGTGGCTTCATGGCTTGCCAAAACCGCTAAAGCCTGTGGATACGAGATTGAACATCAGGGTGACCAGCCCAAAAAAGGAGGCAGGGCTTAAAGGGAAAGCAAGAAAAGCAGCCCGAGCCTCTCAGGCTTCCACTAATTCCTCCACCAAAAGCTCCGCGTCCGTCAAACCACAGACATATCTCATTGCCGTTCGCGACTTTATCCCCCTTGCCGAGACTATTGTAAAATGCGAAGCACCTCGAGTCCGAGTCCCGTCCACATTTATCACAGCCATCGAACGAGCTATATCTGCAAGACGATCTCACCATAGCATTCTTGGAGAAAAGACAAGGACGAATGAAGATGGACATGGTCATTTCATCAGCGTTCTCGAACGCGTTCAAAACATTCTACGACCTTTGTTCGTGGATGAGAATAAAGAGGGCTTGGCTAACAAATTTGAGAAGCTTGATGTCGAGGAGCCTTCGGAAGAGCGTGCTCATACCCCAGATACCACAAAACCAGAGCTTCCAGAATCCGATTCAGACGCAACCTATGAAGCAGAAAGGGCACAAGACATCAACGAGATGTACAGCGCTTACTGCCTTATCATTCAAGATTACCGTGCTTTCCGTATTGCAATACAGGAGACCTGGTTAGGCTACCGGCATGGTGTCTTTGATCTTGTTTCCGCGTCGATCATGACCAACACAGCTCTTGAATTTGCCCGCCAGTTAGAGAAGGACGCAGCACCGTTATTTAACAAATTTGGGGGTTCGGCCATGCTCATGGAAGCAGTATTTACGGCTCAGTGCCATAATATGGGAGAAGATAAAGATTTCCGAGAACTGCCTGGTGACGATCTTAATTTTCGTGTTTGGGAGGCAGCGACAGAAATCTTCTTTCCAACTTACATGTTCCTCCAAGGATTTGTTCCTATGGTAAGCAAGGACAATATGCCCGTTATCAAACCCGGCTATTTTGGCGTTTATGACCCTACTAGCGACCGAATAAACAAATCACCAAGGGAAAAGTTTCAAGAGGATAAGGTGATCCTTCTGGAGCACTCCACTGAGTTTGCATTACTCTGTATTTGTGCTCCTGACCTTTTAGCAGAAGATGAGCTCACACGCAGCTTTGCGGAGGCGTTCCAAACCCATTCAGTCACCCTTTTTCTCTCCTTTGCTACGCAAGTGTACCTTGATATTCACCATACGTTGCGTGGGGACGTGCGACGTGGTCTTTCTGATTTGATGGCTACAGCCAACATGATTGATGAGTCAATCAATGATAACTTTCAGTATCATAAATCCCTTCGTGTAACAGGGTGGCCTCGGTCAAATGATACTGTCCTAGAGAAAATCCAGCAATTTATTGGTCTGTGGGTTAAAAGAGACCCCGTTGGGGAGGCCCGAAGGAGACTCAAGCAACCTCCTAGAGAGCCTTATATGCTCTTATCCTCACACCCTCTCTTATGCGGGTTGATTACCTACAGCCTAAAAGCAAAATTCCAAGAAGTCAGTCTGGCCTTTGCAGGCGCCTGGGGCTCCATATTATATACCTACCACCTCTATAACGCAGTGAAACAAGAAAAACTTCTCCGGAACAACTGGCAAGATATGGATGTAATAATGGGAATGCAGGATAAGATTTTTGTTGGAGATCGTCCCCAGACCCCAGAAGATTACTTGAAACAATTTGCTTTGAGTATGGGATGGTCAGCAGCTGCATTCTCGAAAAATAGACGTCAGGGAGCTCTACCAGTTTCATCCAGAGGTCCTAGGACACTCAAGGAGCTTGCTCCAGTCGCTCAGATGTTCAAACCAAGATTCTGTGAAGGAGCCCTGCAGAGAGACTGGACGATGACAGACATTGAACAAATTATATCCAAATCCAATTGGAGTTGGGATGAAGAGGCTTCGCCTTCAGAGGGTATACGTGTGTATTCTATGTCCCGAAACATTAAGAAAGAGCAGAAGAAAGCTACTTCAGGGGCAGTTAATGCCGCCGAACTACTGAAACAGCTCCGGAACACTTTACGGACGGAATCTTTGGAGCTCAGTATACCATATCTCTCATTTCATCGAATATGCTGGTCGGTTCTTCGCAGTATTCATGAACACTGTCGTCCAACCCTTCGGGATATGTTTGGGGGCGGCTACATGGAAAGGGAGAATCAATTGCCTTTCGTAGTGGGATATATATTTATGGCCGCGACAAATACCAAAAAGCTCTCAGGTTTGCTAGGGGCTAAAAAATCGGATGAAGTTACCAGCAAGTTACTCTCCGAAGCAGCAGCTGCTATGGATGAGTGTATAGCGACTGTTGGCAAGCAGTGTTGTGACATGCTGGAACAACTTAATTTTCGTTTCACAGACGGCATGGATGATGAGGTGGAAGGGGAAGGAGATAAAGACAAAAATGAAAGCAAATGAAATTGAAACTTACGAACAGAATCTAAGGTCTAGGGCTCCAGACAATACTCATGAAAAAACAGTCGATGATAGCAGCTGAGGCGCTTTAGTTAGACCATTAAGTGTAACTACTCCAAGCCAAAAAAAAAAAAAAAAAGCTGTGAACGGCTATTTAACCAGCTCGTTTCTCTTATCTCATATTGACCTCAATAGAGGAGTGAATGTTAGTAATGCTTCGTGGAGGCCTTAATTATATGTTTAACTTGCTGTATAATATTTTATATCCATATATACCCATCGGACTGGTTACCAACCATATCGATAGCCGCATTGAGCTGTCACTGGAGCCTAGTATGTGTATCATCTCTTTCACTTTTCCACCTCACTCGGCAGCGCAGTTATAGCTACGCGCCCTAGCTCTCCAGCTCACCTTCCGCAGGTCATCATACCCAGGGTAATGGATCTGGAGCTCAGATCCCCGACAGCCCGATTGCCTGTATAACATGTTAACAAATATAACCTATTTATTGTCTTAGAGAACTCACGCATATAAAGTGCACCAGCTCCCTTTGTCGGAACCAGCTGCATTTACACCATTGACTCCGCCATTTCCAGAAGGGAATTGATCGGTAATTGTGACTATTAACTAAATGAGTAATTATCACGACCAAAGCCTGGGTAATGAGGATCAACATACCGCAGCTCCCAAACGGGGTACGGTAGTACTCGCAGTGGCCGACGAAGCCTGCCCCTGAACAAAGATACAACCCTCCGTGAGATCCATCTGTAATGCGTGGATCCCCATTGCCCTGTTTATTTAGGATCTGTTGGTCATAGGGCGCAGCATAGGCGGTAATGGCAATAGATAGAAGTGCAGTGATTCCCACGAGGAAGCCCATCTTCAGATATTTATCAAGGCGATAGGGTATTTGAAGGGTGTCAATCAAGTTTCTCACTAGGAGTTGAACAATTTATGAGAGAATGAGTTGGTATTTGGGTATGTAGAGATCAAGGCACTCGAGGGCCTTTTTATACCTGAACGTGGGCAAGAGAAAGGAGGCCATTTCGCCGTTTCTGGTCCTTCAGAATCATGTTCAGCGCATGGAAAAGTGCAGATATCGCTTAATTGACTCTCCAGCCGTTTCAGCTGATGTCCATAACCTTGTCAAAGGCAGCATATATCATGCACTATGGTGTCGGTATTGATGTAGAGGAAAAGTCGCTCGCTTAAGTATCTGCAAGTACATGTAGTTGATTAGTTACGCCAAGCCCAGCAAGCTTCAGCTGAGAAAATCGCATCATCTTCCAAAAAATCCAGCAACTACCGACCAACTTACATTATTACTGCTGAACGACGGATAAAAATAAATAAGTGAATAGTAAATAGAGGAGAGTAAAAATATAATAAATAGGCCAAAAAAATATACATACGACAGTCGGGATTCGCTGGTGGTCACCCACCCAACTACTAACCGACCGGCAAGTGGCTTAAGTACAGCTGAGCGGACGGGAAGCTCTGTTTTCCACTTCCTATGGTCGTATGTGCTAGACTCTTAGTTGAGAGGGTTGATATACGGTAGAGGCATCTCGCGTTACTATGAAAGGAGGATATAAAACCAAGGCTAGGAAACATGGACTAATCCATTTCAAAGGCTGAAAGTATCAGTTATCTTCTGCATCTTCTGCATCTACTTCCTGCTGATGTGGAATCCATGGGTTCGCATCACCAATCTTCTGGACAACCAATCCTGCACTGCCTGGATTTTTATATTTCGCTGCGGCCTGGCGCTCATAACTCACGTTCCTTAGCCGTTCATGTTCGCGAGGTGTGAGACGCAGATACAATTCGATACCCACGAAATGTAGGAATGTCGCTACTGAACCAGCGAGAGCCGACTGGAGCTGAATACTTGCTCCAATAGCGACTGGGTCGGGAGAGCCTGTATCAGCTCTGACAGGGGCGTAGCGCTCAACGTTCCCTAACCACGGGTAAATGGTGGCATTGCACATAGGGTATGCGCTGGTATATGGTACCGGAATATTGTAGAACTTCCACGTAAAATCAATCTGATCGCAGGGCCAGCTGACATAAAATTTGTATTCAAGAGAGCGGAATATGGGTGAAAAGATTTCGATGAGAGGCCGCATAGTTATTATGCTTCCCATATAGAACATGGCTCGTAACATCCAAGCTCGGTGCTGCTCAATTTGCTTCCGGCGGATGTTGATGTAAGCAATTATGATGGAAACTGTAGACACCAGAACAAGGAGCCCATTGCTGAACCGCGTGGCAGGGTCACCACCAAAAGCATGGGGAGTGATTATTATTACACCCGCGTTCGAAATCATGAAAAGAAACATAATCAGGTATCCGTTTAGGCGGTGAAATAAAGTAGCCTTGTATCGAATTATCGGGATAAATTGGAGAACGATGAGAAGTGAACAAGGTAGGATTGCTCCTAGGTGTAACATGATACCGGTTTTATAGAGGTCGCGTTGGTAGTAGTACCATTCGCCAGGGATAGAGCTTCGTCTGAATCTGTTTATGTCTAAGTATTGGAGGCGGGACAAAGTGAATCCAAGCAAGCCACCGGCGAAAATGAAGAAGAGAATGAAGTTGTAAGACTTCCGGAAGCCAACAGCCCTAATTAGGCGGTGCCAAAGAGATGCGAGCTGTGGTTTTGCCATCATGAAGGTCTGAAGGGAAAAAACCGGGCTTGTGTTCAAGTGTGACTGGTATGTTTCTCCTAATAGTCAGACCTAGAGGAAGTTGACGGCATCAGATGGACTTTATATCCATGATTATTGCAGTAATGATACCCCATGAGGGTTGTTGTTGAAGATGGTGAAACCTCTCCAGAATGATGATCAGCTGCACTCGGCATCACCTGAAAGACGTATTCTTGGATATTCCATTGAGGGGCGATATCCATTCTTTTGCTCTTGTAGGGGTATAAATATGCAACTTCATGACAGAAATGGTCAAATATCCATTCGATATTTAATTACGGAAGAATAAGTTGATGTTCGCAGGGATGATCCAAGGTTGTGATGGTGTGGCTGAGGCTGCGCCGAGAAGCGCTTTTCCTAAAAGGGGCATTTCTGCGGTTAAACCACCATATTTAGTCATTATGCAGTTTCTTGTGGGAAGACGAGGGATATTCAAGCGGCTGACGGCTACAGTAGTCGAAAAACGACCACGCACTAATTGGTTTGACAACGTCAATATACGATTCAAGCATTCCCTCGTCGTCGCTCAAAAGATAGTCTTGTTGGGTTTAGTCTTTCAATGGCTTTCTCATAATGGGAAGAGAAGTACTCCGTATCGACTTCAGCAACAAAGGAATTAAGTTATTTCAATCGAGTAGCGAGAACACATACGGTAGCACCTATCACAAGTGACCCAGCTTTTTCCTCCCAGCTTCCTCTCTGATGACAGCGCAAAAATCTTTGGAGCTTGTCTCTTTGAAAAACACTGGGTAACCTCCTTCTAGCCTGTTGGAATGTAGTTTTTCACGACACGGCTAACGGAAGATCCTTCTGACCCGAAGAAAATTTCGGAGCATTCGGGTCATGGTTAAGGGGTGGAAGTCACTACTAATGTTGATTCAGGAGCAGCTGATTGGCCAAAATATGTGAGAACGGGATGCTGACAAACGCAAAACTTTCCGTGAATCGGCATTTTTATACGGAAAGTGGGTCCCGCAGTGCCCCACATAGTTTAATTTTAAGGTTATAACTTCCTTGGGCAACCTAAAAGGCGTGGCCATGACCTCCTCGCTGGGCCCGCAGGAGAAACCGGAAATAAGGCACAAACCAACAAACCATCCGCAAGGTAGAGGTCTAGCCAGATATCGAATGATTACCAATGATGTTGGGCCCCCACGAGATGCTGGTGAGCACTCAATAGGTGACTCACCTCGGGTAGTCTCCTGAGATAAATACCCCTCACTTCGACTTAAATTGTGTTCCTTTCCCCAGACGATGGTTCTCACCATACCGTCAGTAGTCCACAGCTTCCTTGAGGCAGGAGTTGCTTTCAAGTTGGAATCATGAAACTCTCCGGCATATTCCAGAAACCACCGCCTCGTTATGTCGTGGCTAGCATTCTGTGCTCCCTCGGGGGTTTTCTCTTCGGAGTTGACACCGCAATTATCGGTCCTGTGACTGTGATGGACTCGTTCACCGGGGCTTTCGGCCATCCGAGTCCCACGCTTCATGGGCTGATTGTATCTTCGATCCTTATTCCTGCCGCCATCTCCTCGTTTTTAGCTGGCCGTGTTGCTGATGTTCTGGGTCGGCCCCCAGCAATTGCTATCGGGTCTGCTATATTTGGCCTTGGCGCCGCGATTGAGGCCGCTGCCGTTCACCTTGGCATGTTTGTTGCTGGCCGAGTAGTAGCAGGTATTGGCGAGGGCCTTTACTTGGGCACATTGGTCGTGTAACTATGCACCTCGCTATGCCAATGACTTGAACATTCACACTGACGCCGCTGCAGGTACATTTGCGAAATCTCCCCTGCCAGGCACCGTGGAAGCCTCACTACAGGGCCCCAACTTCTTATCACCTCTGGGCTAGTGGCCGGTTTCTTTACATGCTACAGATCTGTTAAAATTGTTTCCACCCTCTCCTGGCGTCTACCATTTATACTCCTTGCTTCTTACTCTGCTACATTTGCCGTTGTTGCATACGTGTTCCTACCCCCTTCTCCGAGATGGCTAGCTGCGACCTACGGCCAAAACACGACAGCGATTGATGCAGCCTGGGATCGTTTGGGTGTTTTGCATGCTGATCGAGAAGTTATGCCGTCAAACCAAGAGGAAGAACACAAGAAAAGGTCCAAGGTCAGTCCTACTTTAAAGTTCTACGGGTCTAGTTTTCTTTGTTCCAGTTACGTTAGAAAAGAATTGGAAAATATGTATTCTAATTACAATTACTTTAGACACTTGACGTCTTTTCTGCCGAAGCTAGACCAGGCTTCCTTCTAGCTATCTTCCTCATGGGTATGCAACAGCTGAGTGGAATTGATGGTGTTCTATATGTACGTTTTCATTCTTTTAGACATTCCCAACTTCATCTAATATTATATACATAGTACGCCCCTTTACTATTCCAACAAGCTGGTCTCACTTCCGCAGGTGATACCTTCCTTGCATCAGGCGTATCAGCTATTGTTATTTGTGCAGTTACAATTCCGGCTACGATCTGGGCTGATAGCTGGAGCCGACGCCGAAACACAATATATGGCGGACTTGGAATGGCCACAACCATGTTTATTATTGGCGGGTTATATGCTGGAGATGCAGTACATTCCTATGGTGCCGGACGCTGGGTGGTTATCATCTCTATTTACCTCTACACGGTCATATTTTCTATCTCTTGGGCGGTTGCTGTGAAAATATATGCCGCCGAAATCCAGCCACAGAGAACTAGAGCAAGCGCTACAAGCCTTGCCCATGGAAGTAATTGGATCACAAACTTCCTCGTTGCCCTTGTGACACCGACCCTACTCGCAAATACTAGCTACGGTGCCTATTTCCTCTTCGGAAGTTGTACCTTTGCCACAGCCATAGTTTGTTGGTTCTTTATGCCAGAAACGCGCGGCCGTACATTGGCCGAAATACAACAGGCTCTTCACACCAGTCGGTCTAGTGGAGTTGACACTCCTGCAAAAACACTCTGGAGAAGACTACGAAGAGCCCCTGCTATTACGGTGACGAGAAATTGACAGTTCAAGATATCATTATGACAGTACCCATCCTCTGAGCACCAGACTTTTGGGTAACGGCTTCCAATGGGTGGTGATACTTGAGATGCCAAAGTGTGCCTTTTAGTCACATTACTAGAGAAGCCTTCAATTTTTAGCCAGCGATTTCGATATCGGCTGATAATGAAAAATAATTAATTACTAATATTCAAAGACCTTTAATACACTTAGTACTCTTTCGCTTACGGCCTGGTATTTAGAGATATAACCGAAGCACCCTGGGCAACCAAGAGAATGGAGGATTTCAGTAATGATGTTGCTCCCAAACGGACCTCCTGTCTAAGCTCTGTACCGGTAAAGAGGGGCCTGTAGCCTTTTATTAACATAAATATATATTTGATGCCTCTCCTGAATTATTTTGATGGTATCAACAATAATGCTTTCGCAATCCGTAAACTAGTTGCGCCGCGAAACTGTTGGACCGAAGTTTTTCCTTAAGTGCGTTGGAGAGACCTTGCAAGCCGAAAAAGTGCAATAAGGCTACGTGAAGTATAAGAGAGACCTTAAAGTCTGGGATTTCGATTCTGTACTGGTCAATGCAGACGATAGGGCTGTGGGTCTCACTCGAGGACCCTCGGCGGTTACTTTGTTCGTGGTTCCATTCTAGAAGCTTATCTGACGCCGTACGAGTCAGAGTGACGAGCTCTGTAAGACAACGGCTAGAAACGTGTCCTTGTCACCCCGGACACTACAGTCTGAACAACGAAGAGCCTCCCTACAGACCTATGTTCCTCTATCTACACAATTTAAAAGCATTTCTGCCCTCGTCTCTGTCGATTCTACCCCAATGGCCTCCAGGAAAAGAGCCACGTCACGGAGGAAATCACATTTTGAGGAAGCCCCTCTATTAGCGCTAAGAGTGGATGGGAATGAGCTCCATCCTGATCGTCTCTCTTGGGTATTTTCGTTGAACCGGGCTGGTTGAGATGGGGTATTTGTGTGATGGTAGAGTGCCTGCATATTGAGGGCTGCGTCAAATATATTCTCAGCATTCGTTGATGAGTGGCTGCTCTTCGGGAACTCGTGCATCCCACTGGATGAATCAAGTCCGACGGCCCCATGATTATCCGTTAATGCAGGAGATGTAGGCTGAATTGACAAAATCGAGCTCTCCCACGTGTTGTGCAATTCGGCGAACTCCTCGGAAGAAGAGCATGGCAAATTTAGAGGCTCAGAGTCAGGCACGCTTTGAGTAGGCTCTTGGTCGATCTCTGTGCCTAGGGACAGTTGTTGACTACCATAGGAAGCCTGACGTGAGCTTGGAGTAGGCAACTGGTTATTGGAAGGGTGCCCACGTTTTGATGTCTTTCTACTGTCTTTGATCGACAAGACATCTCGATACATGCAAGTGACTGAGGCAGCCTGACATTTTCAACAGCCATCTTTGTCAACGCTACACTTTAGCTGGGGAGATGTCAGCAGGTATTCATCTTCATCCTTCCGCAGCAATGAAGTGAAAATAAGTCCAACGGCCAGTGTGACTAGGCCGTAATGTTGAAAGGGGTGATCTAGACCTACTGACTTTCGTGAATGACAACGATCACAGGCAACCGGAGTATAACCTCTGGCTTCGAATCCACTGGCGCTCTGGAGCTCTACATGCTCGCGACTATTGGTGTCCTTGTCGTATCGAATGGTACCAAACATCTTTGCTAACATCGGCTGGCCTGCGGTCGGTTTGAACGTAAATCTTGAGCGTGAAATATAAGATCAGCGAAAACTTAGGTCCCGTAACGTCAGGTCAAATAAATGTGAAACAAGATACGTTCCGCCAGATGTGCTGGACCCAAGGCCAAAATAATCCCTGTACATTTGAGCGCATACGTGTACATTGCATTCGTTGATCACCTACACGGCGCTCACTACCTTGTGCCTTTGCATATGTGCATCCATGGCTAGATAGTTCCCATACTGCCTGATTGGTTGCGAAGGAACCTGGATTAAGTAGTGCATGATACGGTGACCAGGACCTCGTGCAAACTAACTTTTGAATAGCCCCTGAGCCCTCGGCACGGATTCAGTTAATGGGTACCCCGATGAGTGCTGCGGTTCTACACTGTAGATGTTGGTATAAATCATCCGCAGCGGCTATCCATGACGGATTGGTATATGAAGCCTTTGGTATTATGTTCATCCACGGAAGGGTATTTAGAAAAGCCTCTTTAAGAGACTCTAGTGGTTGAACCTCAGTCTTCGGCATAAGTGTATAATATGATAATAATAATAATAATAATAATCGGCAGTGGGGCCAGGCGGCAAGTGGGCCTGTACTCTGTACCAATGGACTGATCAATCAGAGCTCTGTGTTAACACCCAAGTATTTGAACACTCCCCTGCGCCTCGGGTATGATGGCCCCTACAAACGGCGACTTTTTATTGCACCAATGAAGTCAAGTAACGTAAGGTTGCATTTTACGTACGTCTGTCAAATCTAGGGATCGTAGCCTCCCATAGGACGCTGAAATGTGCAAGATAAGGTAACTTGTTACTAGGTACTCTGGTTACCCAGCTCTGCCCTCTCTAGACTTAAGAGTGCTAGCTTCTTTCTCAGCCCGCTCGATACCCCTTCCGTAACATCAGGAGTACTTCGCTTGTTGCCTATTATAGTCGTACAGTCGGAATGACCGGAGCCAATGATGATGGATATTTGTGTGGGAGGCATGGTCCATTCAGTCCGTTGTACTGAGGTTCGTTTGACTTTTACGCGCTTAAATTCTCCGCATATTCGAAACTTACACTATTTAATTACATAATCTCTGTAATAAATAACTAGTTATAGCCAATCAAAATTTCATTTTATAAAGCTGACTGGCCAATCCAGATAACCAATCAACGGCACCCCTGAGGCATAAGGGGTCAGTGGCGTTGATTGGTCGAATGGGCGGGCATAAATCTAACATATATTTTTACCATAACCAATAGAAATAACTGATTAATAGCGAATTGGTAATCCAATAGGAAGTACGTCTTGATTTAGATACGCTTGTACTCCGTATCAGACCACCATCAACTCTGTACTTAGTTTGATCTACTTAACTAAACACCCGAGAGATGGAAGTTTTTATCATACCTGGTTTTCAAGATTGGGAAATGTGAGCGCTGGTGCTATGACAAGCTGTCAGTTTTTATTAGTCATCTTATCTCGCTACACCTTGCTTGGTTAAAGCCTCGCACATTTGATAGAGCTCAATATCATCCTCCTCCTTCTGATACAAGGTTACCATTGCTCCGGTGGATTTTGTACATTGTGATTGGGGCTGTTTCACCCATAATCGGGTTGAATACTCCGGCCCCGGGGGTCAAATCGACCACAGGCCTCTAGCAACAAGTCACCATTCCCCTTTTCCAGTGCGTTTGCAAGTGTTAGGCCCGCAAGGCCTCCGCCAACAACCGCGTCGACATGATGACCAGGATCTGGAACCAGTCTGGGCGGGTCGATATGCGGCTGATCGCCTAATCCAGTAAGTTCCGGAGACCCCACCAGGGGTATCCAGAAGACTGGGTCATTCATTATTGGCCAACGCCCTCGTTCTATACAGATATCCATGCAATACAGGCGTTTTACACACCAAATCCATGATTGTCGCGCCCCTGTCCCCTCCAAGCAATAGAAAATGATAACGCCTCAATTGTTGTATAGCAAGGGGACTCGGGGGTGCACTCGGCAGCGTAGTTAACAAAAGCGAGTTGCACGCTCCAGAGATTCTTTCGCCTCAACCTCACTTCCTTCCAGGCCGACTTGACCCCCCCCCCCCCCCCATCAGGAAAACTAACCTACTCCGACCTCCCACTACCAGTGTCACGTCAATAATCGCTGGGCTGCTTCATGATGACAAGCCGTGATCTGGAAGGTCAAGATGCCAAACACACGAACCGAGCCGGCCCAGGGCAGGTTGGGGAAACCGAAACGATGGAAGATGATGGTCCGTTCAAGCATCTGCCAGAGCATGAGAGGCTCATCCTCAAGAGACAGTTAGATCTTCCCGCCACCAATGTCAATTACATGGCTTTGTATCGTTATGCGACACAGAATGACAGGATTGTTCTTATGCTTGCCTCGGTGGCCGCGATCATTGGCGGTGCGCTGATGCCCATGATGACTGTTTTGTTCGGTGGTCTTGCAGGCACCTTCCGCAGTTTCCTGTTGGGCGAAATCTCGGGGAGCAAGTTTAACAGCGACCTTGCGAGTTTCTCTCTGTACTTTCTCTACCTCGCTATAGGCGAGTTTGCTATGGTTTATATGGCCACGGTCGGTTTCGTGTACGCCGGCGAACACGTCACATCAAAAATCAGAGAACGCTTCCTAGCCGCCATTCTCAGACAGAATATTGCCTTTTTTGACGAGCTTGGTGCGGGTGAGATCACCACACGCATTACAGCAGATACCAATCTTGTCCAGGAAGGCATCTCAGAGAAAGTGGGATTGACCTTGACAGCCATCGCCACTTTTGTGGCCGCTATCGTGATCAGTTTCACCAGGCATTGGAAACTGGCGCTGATTATGTGCTCCACTGTCGTGGCTATTGTTGTCACGTTGGGTTTCGTGGGCACGTTCGTTGCTAAGCTCAGCAAGACATACCTTGGCCAATTTGCTAAAGGCGGAACGGTTGCAGAAGAGGTCATTAGCTCGATTCGAAACCCGGTTGCGTTCAATACCCAAGAGAAGTTGGGTCGATGGTATAATGGATATCTTGTTGAAGCAGAGAAGTCTGGCTTTAAGCTGAAATCCACCACTAGCTCAATGCTTGGTTTTCTCTTCCTGTAAGTATAGCGAGTGGAATAACATCTCACCTTCCGATTGACGGTCTCTTGAATTCCATCGAACAGCACAGCGTTCTAACAAATTGTCACTATCAAGGTACATCTACCTCAATTATGGACTGTCTTTCTGGATGGGCTCCCGCTTCCTGGTGGATGGATCCGTTGGGTTAGCGCAGATTCTTACTATTCAAATGGCCATCATGATGGGTGCCTTTGCCCTGGGCAATATTACACCGAATGTCCAAGCCATTACCACAGCGGTTGCAGCAGCCAATAAGATCTATGCAACCATCGATCGTGTCTCTCCTCTCGATCCCCTATCGACTGAGGGTCAGAAGCTCGAGAAAATTCAGGGAGATGTGGAGCTCAAGAACATTAGACATATATACCCTTCCCGCCCCGATGTTGTTGTGATGGATGATGTAAGTTTGATATTCCCAGCTGGTAAGTCTACAGCTCTTGTTGGAGCTTCAGGCTCTGGGAAGAGCACTATAGTCGGTCTGATTGAGCGTTTCTACAATCCTGTGGGTGGATCTCTATATATCGACGGCCACGATATCAAAGATCTAAATCTACGCTGGTTACGACAACAAATCTCATTGGTTAGTCAAGAGCCTGCATTATTCTCTACCACGATATTTGGAAATATTAAGCACGGATTGATCGGAACACCGCACGAGCATGCGTCCGACAAAGTGATTACTGAGCTAGTCGAGCGCGCTGCTCGAATAGCAAATGTGAGTTTAATCCCTTAGCGTTTATAGTTACCTATAACTACCGTACATATGCAGTCAAAAGTTCTGACCAAGTTTCTTTTCAGGCCCATGATTTCATCTCTTCCCTTCCTGAACGCTACGAAACTAACATTGGCGAACGAGGGTTACTTCTCTCCGGGGGGCAGAAACAACGTATTGCCATCGCCAGGGCCATAGTTAGCGACCCTAAGATCTTACTACTCGATGAAGCAACATCTGCACTCGACACAAAGAGCGAAGGGGTTGTACAAGCTGCACTCGACAAAGCTGCCCAGGGACGAACTACCGTGATCATTGCTCACCGGCTCTCTACTGTCAAGAATGCGGACAATATTGTGGTAATGTCTCACGGACGTGTTGTCGAGCAAGGCACCCACTATGAACTCCTTCAAAAGAAAGCGGCTTATCATAAATTGGTCGAGGCTCAGCGGATAGCGATGAAGCAGATGTCTAGAAATCAAGATAATGATCACATTTTGCCCGAAACCGATTATGATTTACTGCAAACCGGATATGATGAGAAGTGCGACAGCTTCGGCAAGTTAGACGAAGAAGAAGAATCTCAGGACCCTACAGCGTACAAGACACAGTCAGAAAAATCACGAACCACACTTTCGAGGAAGGGAAAAGAGCAACAAGAGGACATTGCCGACAACTATACCCTGTTTGAGCTTATACGTTTCGTGGCGGGTTTGAACAAACGAGAATGGAAATATATGGTCTTTGGAATTTTACTCGGCATCGTCTGCGGCGGAGGTAATCCAACACAAGCCGTCTTCTTCTCTAAGTGCATTACAGTCCTTTCACTCCCTCTCTCAGAAAGCTCTGAAATACGTCGACAAGTCAACTTCTGGTCCCTGATGTATTTGATGCTCGCCTTTGTGCAGCTATTGGCTCTTACAACTCAGGGTATTATGTTCTCTCACTGCGCAGAGCGACTGATCCATCGAGTTCGTGACCAAACATTCCGGCATATCCTCCGGCAAGACATTGCCTATTTCGACAAACGTTCTGCAGGTGCTCTCACTTCCTTCCTATCCACTGAGACCTCTCAATTGGCTGGGCTGTCGGGGATTACTATGATGACCATCCTCTTGATGGTCACTACTTTGGTTGCCGCTTGCACCATAGCGCTGGCTGTAGGGTGGAAGCTTGGTCTGGTTTGCATTTCCACCATCCCCCTTCTCCTCGCTTGCGGGTACTTCCGCTTGGTAATGCTGGTTCGACTCGAGAGAGAGAAGAAAAAGGCCTACGCAGATTCTGCAAGCTATGCTTGTGAGGCCACTTCAGCTATCCGAACCGTAGCTTCTTTAACCCGTGAGGATGACATTTGCAGTCACTACCATGCACAGCTTCTCTCGCAAGGCCGCAGCCTAGTGTGGTCCGTCCTTAAGTCGTCCACCCTCTATGCAGCATCTCAATCACTCCAGTTCCTCTGCATGGCTCTCGGCTTTTGGTATGGAGGCAACCTGTTCGGTAGACGCGAATATAGCATGTGAGTAAACCACAATTCCCCCGGTCAGAAACGATATTCGTCCTAACCCTTCGACTCAGGTTCCAATTCTTCCTGTGTTACAGTTCCGTCATTTTCGGCGCGCAGTCAGCAGGGACTATCTTCAGCTACGTACCGGATTTTGCCAAAGCTCGTCATGCTGCTGCTAGTGTCAAGGCTCTCTTTGACCGGACACCGGAAATTGATAGCTGGAGCGATGACGGCGAAAAGGTTCAGAGTATAGAAGGCCATATCGAGTTCAGGGATGTACACTTCCGGTACCCGTCGCGACCAAACCAACCTGTTCTACAAGGTCTTAATCTCCAGGTCAAACCCGGACAATACGTTGCATTTGTTGGAGCTAGTGGATGTGGTAAGTCCACTGCAATTGCGCTCTTAGAGAGATTTTATAACCCAACTCTCGGGGGTATCTATGTGGATAGCAAAGAAATCTCATCATTCAACGTCAAAAATTACCGCTCCCATCTCGCACTTGTTGGCCAAGAGCCAACTCTATACCAAGGTACTATCCGTGAGAATATCATGCTAGGTACGGACAGAGATGATATTTCAGAAGATGAAATAGTGGCATGCTGCAAGAATGCAAATATCTACGATTTCATTATTGGCCTGCCAAGCGGGTTTGATACTCTCGTTGGTAGTAAGGGTGGTATGTTATCGGGTGGCCAGAAGCAACGCCTTGCAATTGCCAGAGCCTTGCTCCGCAACCCAAAAATTCTTTTACTAGATGAGGCCACCTCGGCTCTCGATTCCGAGTCTGAAAAATTCGTACAAGCTGCTCTGGATACTGCAGCAAAAGGCCGCACAACGATAGCTGTCGCACATCGTCTCAGCACGGTGCAAAAGGCAGACATGATCTATGTCTTCAACCAAGGTCGCATCATTGAGGCTGGGACCCATTCTGAGTTGATGCAGATGCGGTCGGCGTACTTTGAACTTGTTGGCTTGCAGAATTTGGGCGAGATGTAAATTTTTTGTGACCGTCGTGAAGGAATGTCTTGTCGGATAGTTACTCTCCTGTTTCCCTCCTCTTCTTTATTTCGGTGCCTGATGACCATTCACACGGTCATCTCGTTGTATATTGTGAATATATATTAATTTGTCCCTAGATATTACCCTTGGCCTGTTAGTTGTTGGTCTGTAATATGATATCAAACCGCCCTGTGGCCTAACTAATTAACGAGTTCCTGCAACTTCTCCTTTTTGCACTCTCACACATGGCTCTCGGGCCTTTCCATTTTGGGTTATATCCGGCATCCACATCTCCCCCTCCTGCGCTGCCTGTAGAATGAGATGTTGGAATCTGGGATAGATAGTATGGGTTCTATTGTATGCAGGGCGGCAAGCTATGCCTTCGTTGGACTGCGCCGCGATATCAACAGCGATGATCCTAACTAGGACCATGTAGATCGAGCTTGACCTTCTTGAAGCCCCCTTCGGTGCTAGGTTGGATGATATCACAGGGATCGGCGATATACTAGGTTATTACCTTCAGAGTCTCTACTATCTAACTATAATTGTGCCTATAGTACCACTTAATTCTAAGGACTTTATTTATACCCTCCGCGTAGTACTTTATCTTCTATATAGGCTAACCTATCTTAGAGTTATCGTTTCTAACTAGCATAGCCTAGAACTAGACTAATATATTGCTTTAACGATATCCTTTCTTTATCTTATTATTACAACTATTACTACTATTATTACTATTACTGCTGAGTCTGCTCTTTCTACTGTTACTATTGCTATTGCTCTTGCTATTATTACTATAAAAGTCCTCAACGCGAGATTACATTAGAATAATAGAGATAATAAGAGCTACATTTATATTAATAACAATAGAACCCTATCTAGTTCCAACCCCTCCCCAGCTCTATCTTCTAGCATAAGCCCCTTATATCCTCTCACTTTGTCCTCTTACCTAAGCCCCTTACAACTTCTCACTTTGTCCTCAAGCGTAAGCTTCCTAATCCTCTAATCCCCTTCTACCAATACACTTTAGCATTAGAAAACACCCTTTTACGGGTAAAATGTATCTAGTTTGAGTAAGCAAAACTACCCTAGCAGCCCCCAAGCATCCAAGATATAGCTACCCAGACATAATATATCTATATATAACTTGAAAAATTGTAAATATGGAGTATAATTTATTACATTGGTTATTGGGTATTAATTGTTTATCCAGGCTGGCATGTGCAATACTCCAATCCATCTGTCAGGGGGTCTCGAGTCCATAATTTCCAGGTTGTAGTACACCAGAGCATATGCCAACATTAGTTTGAGTTCACGGGCCGCAAAGAATCGGCCAGGACAGGCTTGACGACCGTTGCCAAAAGCAAGATAATCAGACCCAGTAGCCGCAAATGTCAAGCGTGCCTTCAATGCCAAGCTACGGGTACGCCGCCGAAAGCGCTAGTTAACTTTATTAATTTTATCTCCGGAAGAGTGAACCTAAAATAGACTCCTTCGATTATATAATCTAAAGCTAAACAATAACATTTGATCATGTGATCATAACTTAGTTTGAACCTTAATTTAGTTTTCCAGCGCTCGCTAAAGTGAGGTTGCTATCGTCGGGTCGGGTCTCTCTTCTCACAATCGTTCCAGAATAATCCTTTCCAGCGACACAACCTAATCAAGCGATCTTCTGATATCCGATCCGTGATTTATCAAATTTCGAGAGAGCTTTTTTTTTTCTAGTAACTACTGCTGGTTATATGACTATGTAGTTACAGATGATCACTCCATAGTGATCACAGCCCTGAATCGAACTGTTCCTTTGACCATCGCATCTAAAAAAGTTGTTAGTTACACCATGTCCCAACTTGTGTAAGTGAAAGGAACTTACCATATGCTTCCTGGACCTTTGCAAGTGGGAATTTTTCCACCATGCAATTGATATTCTCAAGTTTTGTGAATTCGATGGCATCTTCGGAGTCCGTGGCGTGGCCACTGGGCCAACACTGAACGCTCAGACCTCGGCGTACCTAGTTCTCAAGTCAGTTGGCTGATTCTTCAATAATTGAAATGCATTATAGCCAATGCGAGCTCACCATTAGACCGGTGTTAACGGTGATATCCCCGGGGACTGCAAGGATAAATCAGCAAATTTTCAAGTCCAAACCAACGACCAACCCTTAAATGACTTACTGGAGAGGACCAGAAGTTTGCCCAACATTCCCAATCCCTTGAGAAGTGGCTCGACAGCACTTCTACTCGGTGCGGTCGAGACGATCATATCTGCGCCTCCAATTGCCTGCAACTGCTCGCCAATATCACCTTTGCTGCCATCGATATATATGTGGGCTCCTAGCTCTTTTGCAAACTTCTCCTTATCAGAGCCTCTAGACAAGGCAACAACACGAAATCCGAATTTGTTTGCATATTGAATAGCTAGATGGCCCAAGCCACCGAGTCCCTGGATAGCGACTGTTGAGCCGGGCATCAGCTTCATGTTGCGCATCGAGTTGAAAACCGTTACTCCAGCACATAGAATGGGGGCGTATACTGCTGCGTCGACATCTGCTGGAACTCGCACACCAGCTTCAGCACGGAGCAGACAGTACTCAGCATCTATATATTCGGGTTAGCTTTCTGGACCTGGAACAATATAGGAAAGACGCTACATACAACCACCTCCCTTGTTGACACCATTGATCAATTCGTTATCACACATTTGGTAATAGCCTTTCTTGCACTGTCTGCAAGTGCCTACAGTTCCAGTTAGCCTTGGGAACAGACTTCCATCCTGCGGAAAGACATGGTGCTAACCGTCATGACCGCCATGCCACGCTCCTCCAATCCTATCACCAACTTTCCACTGTGTCACTCCTTCACCAATTGCGGCCACGTGCCCGATGATTTCGTGCCCTGGCACTCGGGGGCTATAAGGCAAAGCTGGTTGTCAGTCCTATATTATCAAACCGATAATGTCTAAGCAAACTTACAGGCCAGCGCCTAGACCGTCGTTCTGTACGTATACATCAGAATGACATACACCACAGGCCTGCACCTTTACCAACACCTCCCCATTACCCGGAGGTGTCATTGGCACCTCTTCGAGGACCAATGGGGCGCCTTTTTCCTTGAAAATGGCTTGCTTGAACGTCTTCGGAATATCCATCTTCGGATAGTAGTATACCTTCAAGTATCAATTTCGGACTTCTTCAATCAATCTGAACTGTCTCGAGGTCTAAAGAAAGCGACTACTATGAGGGGTAATACTAGATTTTATATACAACCAGCCCAAAACCAGTTGGTTGTGTCATCTGTGGCACAGCAGACCGGATTTACATTCCACCCCCGCACAGAGCCCGAGCTCGGGGGATATGCCTAAAGTCCGGGCTGCGATAAGTGAAGTAGTCATAAGCCGTATTAAAACCTATTGGTTGGTTTTTTTTTTTTGATTTACTCATTGCAGGCTGATCGTAATATTATGTATGTGAAAATCTGGGAATGATGCGTGGGGGTTCCCTGAATGCCGGGCTCATTATAAATGGGCAGCGACATGGCTGCGGAGATAAGGATGGGACATGGCAAATAAAGAGTTGCATCCATTCGGCCCAGCTCACGATTTGCCACCGATCAGACCTGTAGCTAGCTAGCATATAAATCAAGCTGGACAAGCGGTTTACCGAGAGAGAAACATTAATACGGAGTACTACGCTCGATATCCACAACGTATGGACAATGTCTATGGTGAAGTAGCGAGAATAGATGGAGAAGTTTTGAAACGCCGTTGTTTACGTAGAGTGTGTTCCCATAGCTAAGCTTTCTCAAAGCGGGTTTCCGAAAATCAGGGGGATTTGACAGTTATCCATCTACATGCCTCTTGTACAGAGATCACGACTGTGATCTTTTTTTATTCTGATAATCGAATCCAAGCTTGACGGTGTTTACGGCGATAGAGAACTGCGGAGAGCTTGAGCTAGACCGATAACGACGAGATCCATTACATAATCGGGCTAGTAACGGGGCCCTTCGATTTGATTTGATAGGTCAGTGTTTATAGTGGCAATATTACGCAGTATTATTATGTCATCCAGTTATCCCCCTCTTTTTTTTTTTTTTTTTTTTTTTTGTTAGTTTCCTCCTGTGCACATTTGACCGCAACATCTCCATACCAAGAGAGATGCAGGACAGCATTCTTCAGCACGAGTCAAAGTGATGTTTATTTCCACTCGGCTTCTGTTCTTCAGTTATACCGTGGATATGTTTCTCCCAAGATTTATGTGGTTATACCCGCAGATATTCACAACCGATCAGTTCTTGCGAGAATATAGTACCGGTCGCCATTTACTAGAGGATACCTTTAAAGATGAATTGAAACGGCTGTCTGTCTTAGGGGAGTGCCTGTATTTGAATTTCCTTGATACAATGAAGACGTGGCAACAGACCCTAGCCTCGGATGTTGTTGGCATTGGAAAGGATTGATTCTACATACAACTCGGTTTGCTCGAAACGTGTAATTCCGGGAGGGCGTTCTGTGTAAACTTCAGGCTATACTACATATTCTAATAGCAGTGCTAATGCACCATGCATCTTTGTATCTTGTTCTATAGTTAGTATATCTACGCTTTGATATGGAAACCGTACGGACAATAAAGTATACCGAGCCGATATATAATTGTCCTTTGTCTACTTCATTTCGCGAGAGCTCGCACCTATTAGGTTATATTGCGAGCTGGCTCGTGCCAATATCTCTAGGAAAATTAGCCGATTGATAGCAGTGAACTTGGGTATATGGAGGCCCTGGTTTCATACAATACACTTTGATTATCACAACACAGTCCACCAGCTTTAGTCTGACACCCGATAGATAGATATACACAGAACTCCTGACGCCTAGCATCTAGAAATTTCGTATGAGTTTGACGGGATTATACAGGGCAGTGTTCTAACAATTACCCGGCAAATAAGAAAACCACTAGTTAGTACTAGGCGCAAATACTCCCTTTATATTGATATTGCAGCACAGGATTTCAGGAAACATCCGCCCGCAAAAGCAACTATCCCACATGACCACTCCAACAGAGGGCCTCTGCCTTGCCCGTTTACTCCAAGCCTTCTACCATCGTCGCCTTTCTTTTTTGTTGGCCCCCCAGCCTGATGCTGACCCGGCAGTCAGCTGCTGAAAAAGCCGCCCGGAGTTGTTGCCGGCCCGGGCCAGATGACACATCACGTGACAGGGTCAGGGACCAACCTTCCGCGCTCAGATTTTTTTTTGCTCCGAATTCTTCCATCTCTTCCCAGATCACCAACGCTCTCAACTCACCCTCTACTCTCCCCCCGTCCACCCGCTCTTCTGCGTCTTGCGCATTCATCACCGTCGCAATGGCCTCTGCTTCCGCTGCTCTGGCTCAGGCCGTCCCCGAGAAGAAGCCCGAGGGCGTTTCCCTGTACGCTCGTTTCGCCTTCGCCGGTGCTGTCTGCTGCTCCGTCACCCACGGTGCTTTCACTCCCGTCGATGTGTATGTTATCCAGCCCTCTGGAATCAATTGGCCGTAATTATACTGACATATCCATCTCTGAACAGCGTCAAGACCAGAATCCAGCTTGATCCTGCCACCTACAACCGTGGTATGATCGGTGGTTTCCGCCAGGTCATCCAGAATGAAGGTGCTGGTGCTCTTTTGACTGGTGTCGGCCCAACCTTTGCCGGTTATTTCCTCCAGGGTGCATTCAAGTTCGGTGGATATGAGTTCTTCAAGAAGCAGTCTATCGAGATGCTCGGTCTCGAGACCGCTCGCCAGAACCGTGCTCTTGTCTACTCTGCCTCTGCTGCCAGTGCCGAGTTCTTTGCCTCCATTGCCCTCTGCCCTCTCGAGGCTACCCGTATCCGTCTTGTCTCCCAGCCTACCTTTGCCAACGGTTTGATCAGTGGTTTCGGCAAGATCCTCAAGAACGAGGGTGTTGGTGCCTTCTACAGCGGATTCGGACCTATCCTCCTCAAGCAGTAAGTTACAGAAAACTTCCCCTGGCATAGTGCCAAAAATAGCAACAAGGAGAGACTAATGCGGAATGTACAGGATCCCCTACACCGTCACCAAGTTCGTTGCTTTCGAGAAGGTTTCTGAGACTGCTTTCTCCTTCCTCGACAAGTCTAAGCTCTCCGATGCTGCTCAGACTGGTGTCAACTTGGGATCTGGTCTTATGGCTGGTTTCGCTGCTGCCATTGTCTCCCAGCCAGCTGATACTATGCTTTCCAAGATCAACAAGACCAAGGGTCTTCCTGGTGAGGGCATCGTCTCCCGTCTCATCAAGATTGCTGGTGAGCTCGGCTTCCGTGGTGCTTTCGCTGGTCTTCCTACTCGTCTGTTCATGGTTGGTGGTCTTACTGCTGGTCAATTCGCCATCTACGGTGACATCAAGAAGGCTCTTGGTGCCACTAACGGTGTTGAGATTGCCAAGTAAGCACTCCATCGCGGACATTTCAAAATTTCGCATGGTTTAGATAGGTGGTAGGAAAATGTTTTGGTATAGAAATGAGGGTGGCTATATCTTCAGCCATTTTCATTTTTTCTTTCAAGTTGGAGAGACGGGCTCCCTTTCTTTCATTTCAATCACCCTCCCTTTTCTCAAGATGCGGTGCCCTCCACATCCTCCGCAACTTTAGTGTATAATTGCATCGGGCCGGCCAAAACCAACTGTACACTCTGGCGGGCGTTATCATCTTGTTTCAATGACTGTAATAGACTGTTTCCTTGTGCTTTAGATTTCTAGGTTGTGCAGGCGGTTGCTGCATGGCTTTTCTACAATCCAGAGACATTGATGTTATGTTTCAATTTGCAGATGCTCTAACATGTGGGTTCTAGTTCGTCGCTTGCTGTCGAGATTAATCATGTCACAGTTGCCCTGTCGCGGGATTTTTCTACAACTCACGTTGAATCGACATGCCCCTTGAATAGCGATTGTCGCTGAAATACCCAATTCGATGCCGTTGAAACATTATGAGCCTTTGTGCAAAGAGTCAAAAACCTTGATCATATGTTAACTGAGTTGAACCTGGTCATCAACTACAGCCTATCTCCATTCATTTCACACCTGGCGTTAACGAGGCGCTTGCGGACCATGGGATCCCCCTTTAAGCTTTGCAGAACAGACGATCACGTTCAGAAACTAAAGCGTTTATCTTGGTTAGCGATTTCATCCATCCAACAACACCTGCTTTACTTCCATGTCGGGCCGCGGGAAACACTCACGAGAAGCATTCTGTGTGCAAGTATAGCTCTTTAACGTCGCCAGCTAATACTTTCCTCTGGGCTTCTGCCGCTGCATTGCGAATATCGTGGAGCATGGAAGGTGGACCACAAACAACAATTCCAGCCGATTTTCCGGCGGCCTGCTCCGCCAGAGAAGCCACGGCACCGGCCAGGCATGGCCGGCCATGCTCATGTATAATTGAATCCTTCTCTCCATTCAAAGTTTGATCCATCCCGCTAGACGCATATTCTTTTGACATACTAATACAGCTCTGAAGAGGGCTGGTGATCGATGTGGTATGTATTAAGACTGAAACAATCGAGCTCGAAGGGTAACAAGAAACCAATGCCCTGATTTTTTCTTCGTACCACTGGGCCATTAGCGAAGAGCGGGCTGCATAAATAATCTTGAGTGTTTTCCCGTGAACCTGGTCCGCTGAATCCGCGGTCGCGCAGGTCCTTAAGACGTCCTCCACGACTGGAAATGAGAATGCAGCTCCAGATCCACCAGTAATGATGAGAATGGAGTCGAACCTTGCCATTGACCCAGAACTTACACCACCGTAGGGCCCTTCAATCAAAACTCTTAAATTAAGGGAAGAAACATCTCTAGCAGCATTTTGAAGCGATTTGGTTAGCCCTTCGTAAGGCTTGGCATAGACGGTCATTTCATTCGTCTTATTCGAGGACTCTTCTTGGGGTAACGAAGCGATTGTAAACGGATGTGCTGTTAGGCAGTGAGCCCCTAGACCGAGGAATCGGAGAAACATATGCTGTCCTGGTTTCCATGAAATCGAGGAAGTTGTTGTAATGCGGATCAAACCACAAGGAAGAACGTCGACTGTCGCAAGACGAAGTCGGTTGATGAAAAGAGTCCGAATTTGAGCAAACATAAGGCAGGGAAGGTAGATCGCGGCCGTTGCGATAAAATAATCCCTATGTAAATTGTTAGCACTAGGCAAAAGCGTCACTTTTACTGAGGATAGCCATTTGATAAGAAATTACCATGAAGTGAGGCGGAAATCACAGTGTATAAAAAGGAAGATAACGTAAATTATAGCTGCAAAAAGATGGGTGGCCTTGAAAAGTTCATAAAACCGTCTCCTACTACTTATTAGTTCTCGAAGTAGTGGTGTCTCGCGAATCTGAACATACCGTATAATTGGCAACGAAAACCATGTCAAATAGGCCTGCAAAATAATCGTGACAACTCCTGTCCAGTAATGCATAGACGTTTTCCATTTTTTTTGCATATCCCCACGCTGAGTATGGTAAATGATGAATGGACACATATGAACCAGTCCTAAAACGAACATAACCCAACTTGTCCATTGATGGAAGATCTGACCAAAGAGTTAGTTAGATGATCCTTCACTTTGGATAGGGAAATGGCCTTAGGGGTTAAGGATAGTTTAAGGGGTTAGGGACATACTTGAATTTTTTCGTGTGATGTCCCAGTTAACGCCGCGATTGGGTTCGCTTTAGACGCAAGTGCTCTGATTTCATAGTTAGAGCGGCCTTCTCTTGTGGAGGTCAAGAATCTACTGACATTGTAAAGGGAAGAAGCCCAAGAGCGATCCATCCTGCCCTAATACCAAGTGGTGGACTGCCACCAAAAACAACCTCTTTGGTGTTTGGCCAGTAGTACGGCTTTGGCCCTAAGGTTAGGACTAGTATAGGATATTAGCTGGAGCCGAAAATAATAGTATCTTGCCAGGGGCTTACCCGAAAAGAAGATGATTCCGGCAGAAATGACCAGCATTCTACCAACATTTGGTGACAAACAGGCCAGGAACGGTATGCGGAATCCTCTGTAAACAAAATACCTCACGAAACCCTTGGGCTTTTGTAAGAACTTGTCGATGAAACTCCGGGAAGTAAATCTCCGCAACATATATGCTAACATGAAGACGGAGATGACTGCACACATGAAGTAAACTGTGGCTCTCGCGTAAACAAGATCGGATGTATACCTAGAGAATGATGCGACATTAGCCCAAAGTCGCCATCCTGGGCCACAGACAGCACCCATACCAATATACCCAGTAGCCACTTCGAAATTCACATTGTGCCGGTGTTAATTTACACTTGTCTTCCCTTGACGAATGTAGTTGCAATGGGTTTGACATCCAAGGGAAGCCAGTAGGCTTTGGCTTGTGTGCTTTATGATGCTCCATCATAATTATTATGGCAATCTAGACTCTGTACGCTAATTTCAGGAATAGAAGATGTAGTCGATTTGACCAGCGATCACGGGTATCATATGTTGTGTTTTTAAAACTGTCACAGAGAAGCAGTTTTAAGGGCATCCTCAGGGGCTCGCTGCATTGAGCGATCGGGTATATGAGATGTAATACTGCCATCTTCATTAATTATGTGCTTCATCCTGCTTTCCTGAAGTAAGTACCCTGTAGTACTAGTACAGGCCGAATGGAAAAGAACTTCCTGTTCTCCTTGATATAGCCCAACCGGTTACATATATCCAATCATGTTTTCCGCAAATTCAACCCAAGGCATATAAGCGATGGGGCTGGATCCAGTTTGAAAAAGAAATAATAAGCTTAACGTTTTTGCAGTCATCTTGGTGAGCAGATTTGAGCTATGAGACGCAGCCGTACAAAATTTTGACAGTGATTCTAGGCTTGGGCTGGAATGTTTATTCTCCAGCCCGACTATAGTGCTGTGGTTCCCGGACATCGGGGAGGGGCCGGGTGGCTTTGATATAAGGCTGCAAAATTAGTACACCTTGCAGGTCTTGCCTCGAAGGAAACCTGGTTCAGGCCGTTATTATAATACTCCCCAAGGTATCTCAATAACCAGGCGGGTATCCAAATGGTGTACGATCTATTTGTCTCCCGGCGTGATTGTTGAGCCGAGCCGTTGTTGATGTTTTGCAATTTGCAGCCGCACAATGCCCGAAGCAACCACCACCAGATTAGTAAGCAACTCAAATCACGTGAACATCGGCCGAGCTAAGCAACTTCGGCTTTCGTGGCTTCGATCAGCGTTTGCGGCTTGCTCGCGGGCGTTCCTCTGTCACCGCAGCTAGTTATAACCTCCAGAAGGGAGAGCGATGGGGGATCTACTGGGATAGGAGGACAGCGCATATGCATACGGCCATGACATATATTATTACTATCTATCATGTTTTCAACCGTCCTCAAGTCGAAGTCACCTTCGATATCAAGCTCCATAGCTATCGTGTGCGATAAGCAGGCTACAACATATCTATCTGCTTCCAATATAAATTTCCGCCGCTCCTCCACCCTACCGTCATACCAACGATCCATTCACTCACGGCAGTTCCAGCCTTTCGTCCCGCCTAGCCCCGAGTCCCTCGGGAAACCCAGCCGTGCAAAGACATACCCTCGAACGCTCAAATGGCTTCGACGGCTCTTTTACACAGGCGCATCTCTCGGCGCATTGTATATCTTGGATAGCCAGTTCAACGCTTCCTGCATCACTCGTACCACTCGCACATTCGCACTTGGCCTCTTCGTTGCTCTCGACTATAAAATCAACTTCCGTCCTAACCCTCCACTAGCAAAATCTATCGCAGCCGTACACGCTCGGAGTGCGGAGCGTCTATCTGTACTCCTTCGTGAGAATGGCGGATTATACTTGAAAATTGGCCAGGCAATAGCCATGCAAGCAGCCGTGCTTCCGCCAGAATTTCAGAGAATGTTCTCTCGTATGTTCGACGATGCCCCGCAAAACGATTGGAAAGATGTGGAGAAGGTTATCAAAGAAGATTTTGGAAAATCAGTTGAAGAAGTATTTGGAGTCAGCTTTGATGGTGACCCGAGCCGTGGAGTCATGGAGCGCACCGCCAGAGCAAGTGCCAGTGTAGCCCAGGTCCATTGGGCCAGGCTAGCAGATGGGAGAGAGGTTGCAGTTAAAATACAAAAGAGGGAGATTGCACGTCAGGTAGAATGGGATCTATGGGCATTCAAGTACGTATGCAGATGCCGGCTACCCCTACCCAACCTGTATCTGCGATGTTAAGTAGAAGCTAACAATTACAGGGTCATCTCGTACCTCTACTCCAAGGCCTTTGACATACCATTTTATAGCCTAGTTCCATTTGTATCAGAACGACTCTTCTTGGAAACGGATTTTGAGAACGAAGCCGATAATGCGGAGCGTATGGCTAAGTTGATTTCCAGTGAACCTCGTCTGCGTGATAGAGTGTACATCCCAAAGGTGTACCGCGAACTTAGCTCGAAGCGGGTTATGACTGCTGAATGGATCGAGGGAGTCCGACTATGGGATAAAGATGCTCTGACTCGACCTTGGAGGGGAGGCTGGTACCAGGGAAGCCCAGGCTGCCATGGAGCTGCTCTAAAGACATCGGACGGCAAAGCACCTCCTCGCCGTGCTGGCGGTCCTGCCATCATTGACAAGATAAAACCGGACCGTGACTATTGGAAAGGGAAGAACGGCCGTGGCGGCCTGGGCTTGTCACTAAAGGAAGTCATGACTACCATGGTCGATTTGTTTTCTGCACAAATGTTCCTTTGGGGATGGCTTCACTGTGATCCACATCCTGGAAACTGGTTTGTCCGCCGACAGCCTTCCGGGAAGGCTGAACTGGTTCTCATAGACCATGGCCTCTATGTCCATATGGACCCGAAATTCAGGCATGAATATGCCCGCTTCTGGAAGTCGCTACTAACATTCGATAATGCTGCAATCTCTGAAATAGTTCAAGGTTGGGGTGTTAGAAACCCGGACATGTTCGCGTCGCTTACCCTGCTACGGCCTTATGAAGGGGGCGAGCACACCACGTTCAAACAATTAGAGGGACTGAGCAAACGGGAGAGAGCCGAGCGCCATTATGCAGCTCAACAAGCCATGAGTCAGGCTATCCGTGATTTCCTCGGAGATGAAACGAAGTGGCCTCATGAACTCATATTTATATCCCGGAACTTCCGCATTGTCCAAGGAAATAACCAATATCTAGGGTCACCTGTGAATCGTATCAAAATAACAGGAACATGGGCATCCAGAGCCCTGATAGAGTCCCCATATCTCACCCTCTCTGAAAGGCTCAAAAACTATGGACGCCATATCATATTCAAGTGCGTCTTGTTCACATCCGATGTCTTCTTTTACTTCACCAAGATCAAACAGTTCCTGGGCCTTAGTGGTGGAATGGAAGATGAGATTGAAGCCCAGCTGCAGAATATGGCAAAGGATATGGGCGTGGATCTAAGCCAGCCCGTGTTCGAAGGCTAAGCGTTGGTCTTTTTGATTTATTGTGTTCTTCTTTTTGCTGGCTGGAAGGAGGAACACATTCTCTACCACTTTATGACGAGGAGCTCCTCCACCATGTACAATATCACTCTTCCCTTCTGTGTACTAAACTGCAGTGAAATAATGCATTCATTGATGCCGTCATTGGCTACCTCGGCACTTCTGCTTAAGTGGTTTTGTCGCGCCTTTCGCGTATTTAAGTTTGGCCGCGATCTTGGCATCTTTTCGATCTGACGAGGAGCTCAAACCATCATCATCCTTCGTCGCGAAACCTCTGGGTGTTTTCGATTTGAAACAGCAGTTTTAACCAAACAGATCGATCGCTTGCAGGAACAGGCGCTCGGGGAAAATGTTCCGACTGAGATTAGGTCTTTTCTCGTTTCCGATATACTTTCAGGGCCATTCTGGGGCCGTTTGAGATGATCAGGAAACATCCCCAGACAGAATAATAGCGCCGAGACGTACAGAGTAAAAGCCACGCCTTGGGCTTTCTCTGATCCCTAGATGATGGCAACTGGCCCGGCATCTTTCCACGATGAAGACTCCCAACCCTCGTCTCGCTTCACCTACCGTCACTTCCAGCTTCTGCGGTCCTTCTCAACCCGCACCCCCCTTCGAGTCATAGCCCACATCGATCTCGATGCCTTCTATGCGCAATGTGAAATGATACGACTGAATACCCCGCGAGATCAACCTCTAGCTGTCCAACAATGGCAGTCTCTGATCGCGGTTAACTATGCTGCCCGCCCATTTGGGGTCTCGAGAATGATCACAGCCGCAGAGGCAAGGAAGCTGTGTCCCCAGCTGCTAACGCCACATGTTGCGACTTTCCGGGAAGGAGAGGGAGAACATTGGGCATATAGAGAAGGAGACTATTCTGTTCAAAAGGATAAAGTCTCGTTAGACCCCTACCGTGCAGAATCGAGGAAGATTCTAGCAGTTATGAAGAACACACTGCTAACCTGGGCAGAAGAAGTATACGAAGGGTGTCGCGGTCAGTTTTCTGAACCATCAGACATGGTACGGCTTGAAAAGGCGGGTATCGATGAAGTGTTTGTAGACCTCTCAGCGCTCGTGTTTGGGACGCTGTTGCACCGCTATGAGATACTCCGGCGGGCCGCTACTCTTGACGGGTCAAAAGATGATCCCAACACATTTCTTCCTAGGCCTGAAACAACTGCGCTTGTATGGGGAGAAGACGATGAATTAATTGATCTGGACACTGGTGAGTCTGAAGAGGACGACCCAGAGTGGGATGATATTGTTATACAGGTTGGTGCAGAAATTGTAAAATTCGTTCGAACAGCAGTGTGGGACCAGCTCAAATACACTTGTTCTGGCGGAATTGCAAGGAACAAAATGATGGCTAAACTAGGAAGCGCGTGCAATAAGCCAAACCGACAGACTATTGTCCGCAACCGAGCTATTCAACAGTTTTTGAGCGGATACAAATTTACCAAAATCCGCTCATTGGGAGGAAAGCTGGGGAAAAGAATTTCATCGGAATTCGAAACAGACAAAATTAGCGATCTACTAACCATCCCACTTGATCGACTGAAGAACAAACTGGATGACGACACTGGGATGTGGCTCTACCAAATCATTCGTGGAGAGGACGATAGCGAAGTTACCCCACGAACGGAAATCAAATCCATGATATCGGCCAAATCGTTCAACCCCAAACTAGCTTCTCTGGACCAAGCAGAGAAGTGGATGCGAATATTTGTCGCAGAAATCTACGGGAGGTTGGTTGACGAAGGCGTCCTGGAGAACAAACGCCGTCCTAAGATGATTACAGTTCATCATTATGGCCCAAACCAGGACAAGTCTCGTCAGACCCATATACCGACTGGAGGAGCCATTGATCAAGTTATGCTCTTTGAGCTAGCAAAGAATTTACTTCAGCAGGTGGTCAGTTGGCCCTGTTCGCATTTATCCCTGACTGTTAGCGGGTTTGAAAGCGGGATCACGGGAAATAAAAGCCTGGATAGTTTCTTTATCCGCGGGGCAGGTGAGACTCCAGTATCACAACGCGACGGTAGCATGCCGAATGGCAACTGCCAGCCGGAGCTCCCTGATGATAATTCGGGACATCAAAGAAAGAAGCAAAAAGTCGGTGAGGTTCATGGCCAACCCCCTTCGAAAGGGGTTGGTTTCTTCTCAAGATACAAGACCAGCGCTAAACAAACACTCATTGAGCCTTGTTCTGAAAACACGGGGGAATCGTTAGCCAATCTTCAAACGAATCCAACTTCCTACTATTCGACCCAGGACGTTTGTTCCCGTTGTGGAGAGGCCGTGCCAGAGTTTATGCAATCAGAACACGATGATTGGCATTTGGCTAAAGACCTAGAAAGCCAGGAGCAACAGTCCCTGAACGCTGCTCGGGCGCGCAGTACGAGTACAGGGAAGACAAGACAAACGAGGTTGGCCTTTGGCTAATACTTTGTTGTTTTTACTAGCCGTGATGCGGTTTCCTTTTAGAAACATGCAATTAGCCAGCGCTTGTACGATATATTGCGATACGCTTTTTTCCTTCTACTGCATTTGGTACATAACCCACCGCTCCATCTAGATGAGTCTAGATGTCTATTATATCTCCTCCCTTTTTTATAGGCGTATATGCTTCCCACCAGCTAGACGCAGCCCATTGTCGGGCGTAGCCGTTTGTTCCCCTTTCATCCTATCTTCAAAGGCAGGAAGACAAGATTCTTCATAAAGCGCAACTACGTCATGCTTTGAAACTCCACACTTGCATGGATGTTTTGCTCATCCGTCGCTAACTCGCTAGTTATCCTTGCTATTTACCGATGTCCACCACTTGGATACGGGGTGTGACATCATCGCTTTTTCAACTTTCAGCATCAGCAACATATGATAAGTTCCTTCTTCATATATGGGTTATCACGGATTTTTTGGCTTGATATATTCCGGGGAAAGGCCTTTTTACTTCATGGTCTCCTTAAAGCCTGTTTTCGTCATTCTCCAGGCCTCTTCTTCAATCTGCCTATCTTGTCTCCGGTAGCCTCCGTTATAGATCTATGTATCCGGTAGAGACTCCAATCGGCAATATTTTATTTCACTGAAATTATTCTGGGCCAACAATTTGCCTAGGTCGAGCTGCGAAACCCATTGCTGTGCGATCTGGATCAATACGCAGAGTTTATTGAGTTCCCTGGTTCCCGCTCCGTTCCATGGCTATCAAGACACGGTTCCACGAAGATTATCCAAGGGGGCGAGATGAGATTCTAGACATACGGCATCGGCGGGGTGGATTCTCACCCCCGTCTGATGGGATTAGAGGAGAATGGCATACTAGGCGCCGGCGCCGAGGTAGAGACGAAGAGTATGAAGAAGAATTTGAAATTGAGGTCGACCGGGACAGGCGTACTGGACACCGCAGATCACCGAGACACTACAGTTGTCCTCGCGAGCCCAGAAGGCCTCCTCCCAGAGTTGTGGAGAGGGAGGACCTTGTGGTTCGGAGGGAGGAAAGTCCTGGATGGAAGAGGAGGGAGAAAAATGACTTGATTGCAAGACGAGAGAAAGATATCGATATTCATTTTGAGGGCTCTGTCCACCCCGTTTTGCCTCGGCATCGACCGTCTCATGTATATGAAGAAGATATTTTCGAACACCAGCGATATGGTAGAGATACTGAAGACTCTGGGACAAGAAGGTAACTGTATCCTCTAAATAATTGCCTTTAAAATAGTTCACTAGCCCACTAACTGACGATTAACAGACATAAGAAAAACGAAGATGAAAGGGCTCTTGAAGTCGACGTGGACATCCATGAGGAATTGGACGATCGGCATTATAGAGGGCGAAAACATGACCCTTTAGTGCTGAGGCCGCGTGAACTAGTCCCAGCCCATATCCGAGAAGAAGATGAATACTATAGCCGGCACGTTGCGGAACGGCCATTAAACGAAGAGAGATATCGAGATACCTCTCAAGATTGGTGCATCATGGATGTTCCTTCTGGGACACGACGGGCCGTGGCTGACGGACTCGGAGGCGTCAGTGAAGAAATGTCATGGCGTAAAGACAACGGTGTCCGAAGATCTAGACATCTTTCTGATAAGTATGACAGGGAAGTTCATGGAACAGTTGCGAAACGGTACGTCGGTGTAAAAGAAAAATGCGAAGAACTCTGGACAGAGATCACCAAGGACCTTGTTGTGAAGGAGGCCATTGAAGAGGCAGGGTATGATTATGAAGAGACAGCCGATTTCTTCTATGTCTTTTCGTATCTGGAATATGTGAGTCTCCATTTTCGCCCAGGTTTACCCCAAGCCAGCCAATGTGAAGCCATCTTGAAAGGCTGATACTGATAATAACTGGCTATATTGCAGGATGACGTAGCAGAACTGGTGAAATTTACAGAAGATTATCGCCGCCGACGCCGCGATAGGGTATTGGAAATACAGAATGAGAGATCAAAGGCTCATCACTTGCCTCCTCCGTTCCCCCAGTCCAGGATGCTTTTGGAAAAAGAATCACCTGGACTGGCCTGTGATGATAGGCGAGTAGAAGAGACAGAGATCTTCATTGATGAGAGCCGAAGGTCACGCCGCCGCTCTCCGATACTCAGAGAGCGTGTCATTTAATATATCCCCTTCTCCTCGCTGGTGACTTCAAGAGTGGAATTGCCATAATTTGCTCCATTTTCGTCAGGCGGTTCGCCTGAAGAGGGACAGCGGCCTAAAACAGGAAACCAAAGTTGGGCCGTTGCGGCGTTTCCTGGTATAATATGAGCTGAAATTCACGAGTGACTGAGATATTGTTTCGGGCTGAAAAAAACCAATATTCATGGTCGGGTATATCATATCTTCTCCTAGCCCCTCTAACTAGTGACCCAGCAGCAATAGAAACAACAGACTTTCCACTTATCCATGCGCAGTCAAACGAGATTTCCATCCCTTAGAGTTGCATCGTTTGCATGTTCAAATATTATTATTGTGAAAAGATGGCGGTTGTCCGAGTCGAAGAGCAAAGGTCCAGCCCGCCGCCTCGGAAGCTCCGGAGATCCCTCGGACCGCGTTTCTCGCGGCAAATCGCCTAATTTAGGTTATGACCGTGGCCAATAACTAGCGGGAACTTAAATATCAAATAATAATAATATCTTTTTTTCACTTTTTCACTTTTTTTTTTTTCTTCTAGGGCGGTAGATTGAGATGCAGTCTTTTGCTGGGACACTCAGGATACATGTATACCAGAACCAGCAACTCGTTCAGTGAGGCCATAGAAGCGTCTTTTGATAGATTTAGAAGAACTTGGCTGCAGGGGTATGGAACGGCTGGAGAACTCATTCACAAACGATCTCCCAAAGAAGGTCGAAATACTCCGTATCATAAGAAAGACATCCTGTTAGTTGTTAGTGCATATTTAGTCTTACTTGGCGGAGATGCTGTTTGCGTTTGTAGTTCGACTCCCATGCTTTGGTACATGAGACTGAGTTGACTCACTATCAAACGGCTGCGCCAAAAGAAGGCCTGTCCACCAATTGGCGACAGACAAAATAGCTTAATTCATTGAAACTCGCTCATGATCATGGTAGAGCTATCTTCACGCAATGAGCAATCATTGCTATGAACATTAAAGGGAGATGGGTTCAAAGCTCAAGGTTACTTAGCATCGGTCGAGAAGGGCCTATCCAGGCCATATGGCGATATGAAGTTCCACAAATCCCACTACCTGGCAATATCAGTATAGATTCCAGGTCTAGACAAGTGATATTGTCGAGACTATAGACCTTCCCCGGAATGCACCTCATTACTTTCACGGAATATCCTATTCACCGTGTATCTAGCAACTTTAGCACTGCCTCTAAACGGGAAGTTGGTCTCTTATACTCTGGGATGTTTCCGTACTGGCGAACGCCGTTGAAACAGGTACATGTTTGTCTAGTATGATCATATAATCAGGGGAATGAATGCTGTGGATGTGTCCATCTCCTCCCTTTAAAATGGTCAAACGGTGCGGTGGTTCGATCCAGGTGCCTAGTTCATCCCCCTCTCCATTCATGCGAGGCCTGGGAAGCACATGAGTGGGCGTGTGAATAAGGATGGGTTTGGAAACCGGTGGATTCGTAGTTACCGTTTCTGAGGAACAATTGTGGCGAATAAACCGTTTCTATTATAACAGACCGTTATATCGTTTTTTATGATAATGCGGAGAGGTAGTCTTGACAACACCATATCTGTTTTACTCTCAACATCACAGGAAGAGAGGTCGTTCAGTGACCATTCTCTCCTGGCATATCCGTACCTAAGTGTAAGTATTAAGCGGATGTTGTTCCCACAAGGTGGTCCCCCCCCCATTGCACCACTCGCCACGCAAAGGCACGAACGGCTGCAGGACCTCAAACGTATTTTTATATAAGGGGCTCGTTTCCGCATCCCGGCCAGGCGAAGATTAAAAGGAAGCGGCTATGTTTAAACCTGACCTTTAGTCTGGCCTCGGGAGGACAACATGTGGATTGACCAGAAGAAGCCCTGTAGCGACGAATGAGCAACAGCGAGTCTGAAACGCATTCCTTCACGCAAGCCAAGGCCATCCCGTAAAATCGTCCAATGACGAGGACTACCATGTCGCCAACCCGCTGTGTTTCTGTTTCATCAGTCGGATCTTATCAAGGAGGCAGCCGGGCCAATAGTCGACGGGACGAGAGAACTCAATGCGAGGCGTTATGTATTCATCATCGCTGGTTCTTATGTAAGTAGGTACGGAGGCGAATAAAAAAAAAAAAAAAAAAGAGAAAGAAAAAAGAAAGAAAAAATGATGCAGAAGGGAAAAGAAAAAGCAACGAAAAACTGGGAAGAATAATGACGTTTACTTTTTTTTCTTTTCTTTTGCTGTGTATGATCATATTCTTCTTTTGCTGAAGCGCCCCAGATGGGTGTTCCAGGAGAGTTGGAGCGGGCGGGCAAATACTTGGATGAGTGGAATCCAGCAAAGCCTGTTCCTGGTTCCTTAGCCAGAGAGAGTTAATGATGTCTTTTCTTCTTTTTTTTTGGGTTGCTTGGGATGGGACTTCGGCCGGCGCCCGCAAGGTTAAAATAAGATAGGTACGCTGGGGGATGCCTGTTGAGAGAGGCTGCTGTTGATATATCTGCACATATAAAATGAGCTGGCTGGGGGCGGCTGGGAAGCATATTATATAACACCTATAATCCCAGTCCCTCACTCACGGACCGGAGTGGCTGGTGCAGAGGAAACAGTTTGCTTGCGAGCTTGACAAGCCGCTGGCCACGAGTTTTTGTGGGTACGGCAGGGGGGGTCCTCCCTGAGGTGGCGTCCGTTTGTTGGCAAGGGAGAGAGAGAGAGACAAGAATTCATCTCCAGTCTACGGAGTACGGAATGGAGAGTGGGAACTTCATAGGGGCGGATGGACTCGGGGGGGTCTCAGCGACGGCCGAGAAGATAAGGAAGTTGGTCAGGAGATATGTGGACGAGTACGGAGTATGTGTGTGTGAGTGTGGCTGACTGTCTCTGGTGAGAGGATGTGAATTGCCGGGCTGTATAAGAGAGATCCAAAGATCCAACATGTCGCATGCAGTGACTGTCAGATGCAGCCGTGCTTACGTATATACACGGGCTCGCGGTCCACGCTCTCTCGTCGAGGCAAAAGAGTTGCTCCTTATGCAGCACTACTGCTCTCCCTGCAGGCAAGGAAATACGATGAGATCGAGATCGGTGAGTGGGTATTATGGCGGTGCTCGGCTTGGGACCATTGAAGCTAACAGGCGTCAAACGATGACAGGGGAAGCGGAACCCGAGCTCGTGCTGGGAGTTCGTCAGTCTCTTTGGCCGGTTCTTCTTCGTCTCTGCCTCGCTGATGGGCGATGTGCGGGCTGGCATCACCCGGTGTATATACTAAGTGAGTGAGTAGCGCCTCTGATGCATACCATGCGTCGAACGGACGCGGGAAAAGGGATGGAGAGAAAAGCAAGGCCAGCACAGGCAAGTCGCAACTGGGAAATAAATGTCTTGCTCCTGTCCAACAAGGGCGAAATCAATAATCACAATAATAATATGGGGGGGTTGTACCTTATTATTAGCCCTCTGCTAACTATTAATTTCGGATCTTCCATCCCTCCCCATCCCCAGAAGTTCTTAAGCACCGTGCACTGCCGGATTGATTTTATTTATTAATATTGAAAGGAGACCCATCATTCCCTTGCCTCGACGTCGTATTCGGCCCAGAGAGTCGGTCAGGGCCAGCTTTGCTTGCCTGTAGTATAGTGGAAGTAGTTGTGTTTGCTTGTAGTACTCCGTGGTGTGTGTTGTAGATGTTGTATAGATGTCACAAGCCTTCGGGTGAGACTCGCGACGAGCTTGCAGCGAGCCCGACGAGCCATTGAGCCAGGACAGCCGCCGCAAACAAGCCAGAGGCCGCCGGCAGAGACGTCCAGCAGCAGCGGCGGCCAGCACAAGATACGAAGCCGCCGTCTGGAGGCACGAAAGGGGACGGACGAGCAGGAGGAAAAAGCACACTTGGCGGGCCAGGGAAACCTTCCGCAAGGCCGGTCTCTTTGCCTCCCCTTCTTCCAACTTCTCTCTCCCTCTTCCCTCTCACTCTGTTTCTCTCTCTGTCTCTCTTCTGACCGTCTTGACCGTCCTTTTGCGTCTTCTCTGTCTGCGTCTTCCAGCTCGCTGCTCGTCGTTTGTCCTCGCCGGACCCTCGTTCAAGTCGCTCGTTGGCCTCGTCTGCCTCACCACCCCCCGTTGGCCGCTCGCTCGCAACCAACCCGGCCTGGGTGACGTCCCCCCCCCCAGTCAGTCTCTCTGTGCCCGCTTGTCCGTCTCGCAGCGATTCACTCTCGCTCGGCCGTGAGAGGCGGAAGATAAACAAAGTCGAAGAACGGCCAGAACGCCAGCAGGAGCAAGGACACTCTCGCGGCTCTCCCGTCGTCTCAGCGCGGCCTCGTCGTCAGTTATGCCCTGCGGCCTCTAGACCTCTGGACCTCTCTCTCGCTCTCTCGCTCTCTCGATCGAACAGACCAGACGGCCGTCTCCCCGGATGGACGTTGCGTAGGGTCTCAAGACCTGTCCGGCCGGCTCCCTCTCGCTCTCTCGTTTCCTCTCCTTTCCCTGTCTCGTGCGTCTTTCTTTGAGTCCAGCTCTCGCGGATGGTGTAAGTTGCCGTCAAGTCTGATAATCCTCCATTGTTGCTGGATGCCGGGCTGTCTGCTGGCTGGAACAAGGGCTGGTGGTGCCATGCTGGCTGTGAATCTGGCTGATGCCTCCTGGTGAATTATAGGAAGACTCTTGACTGCCTGCAAGCAAGTTATGAGAAGTGGATGCTGTCCCTGACTTCTGCTGCCTTGTGTGTATCTGTGAGTCTGTCCCCTATCATCACCAACAACAACCACTGCCTCTTACCTCTACCTCTACCACTATCACACACCAACTACCAACTACCACTTCTACCTGCATCGCCATGGTGATGAGAGGAGCCTGCGGACTCTTCCATCTTCTTCCGCCGAGCAGTTAAGGAACACACTCTCTTTAACTGCCCTTTTCTTCTTCTCTTCTTCTTCTCTTCTTGTTCTTTTCCTCCTTCTCTGCCTCTCTGTGAACCTGAGTCTCTGCAAGTCTGCCTGCTGCCCTCACATCTGCCCCCAATACCTGCCCTGATACCTCTGCCCTGAAGCATCAAATCCCCCCCTGCTAACAGCTTACCTGCCAGTCTGCAAGCAAGTTTGTTCTGTGAGAAACAAGAGCTCCCCCCTGTCAACCTGGTGGTCATATAAAAATGGCTCCCAACCCCCATGGCAACCTGATATCTCTGCTCTTTTCGCTCCTCATCTTGTATCCAGCTCTAGCTGCGGCCGTCGACCTCGACTACTGCGCCGAATTCAACACGGGAAGCACCTTTAACTCTGGTAGGCATAATTATACCCCCTATTAGCTTTACTTGTGTGCCTATCTAAACTGACAACTTGGAATAGTTGTTGATGGCTTCCAGTCTATCGGGGCGTGTCAGAAGACATGCGGGAACCAATACGCCTTTGCTGTCCTTCAGGGCAAGATGTGCTGGTGCACGAATGCTGCCCCGAAAGACACCATCCCGAACGGCAGATGCAACCAGAACTGCCCCGGATACCCAGATGACAAGTGCGGAAACACCTCGGAGGGCCTCTTCGCCTACATCATGCTCGACAAGAAACCGTCCACGACGATTGGTAACCCGTCATCGACCACTACCTCGTCGGTTAGTAGCACTCAGTTCTCTTCATCCTCAATCCCAAATATGTCTACAACCGCTGCCATGGGGGGGAATCGTTCTTCATCTTCTTCTTCACTTTCACCTTCACCTTCTTCTTCATCTTCTTCATCTACCCTGCAATCTCAATCTCCTGCACCCGAACAGACATCTCAATCAACACAGATGATTTTGACACCAAGTGTACAGACCACCAGCAGGGCCAGTGTGAGCACAGAGACTCGCACCACTACACTATCGCCTACCTCAACTTCATCGTCATCATCATCTTCTTCTTCTTCATTTTCTTCTACATCTTCATCTGTAGGGCTACGATTCCTTCCCCCCCTGAAAGAGACGGATTTATTTTTGCTTTTCTCACCTGCTTTTGACTGCCTTTGAGAACTCCGGCTTTTTGTTTGTGAATGACGTTGAATCCCCCCTGAACTAACGTTTCTTTGATACAGTCCTCTACGAAAACCTCGAAAACAACAACTTCACCCGCATCGACAACTACCGATCCTACGGCTTCGATCACCACCGTAGAAGGACGGGTCACTACCATCACGGTTCCGAACGCACCAGCGCAAACCCACCCTCCAGCCAGCAACGAGGGCTCCTCGCTATCCGGCGGTGCCATTGCTGGAATCATCATCGGCACTTTGGCCGTATTCGCCATCTTCACGGGCATTATCCTGTGGCTCTTCTGCTTCCGTCGCCGCCAACAGGCTAAGATTGATGATAGCTACCGTTCGCCTTTCCACGAATCCCCAGTTCCACAGCCTATCTTTGAAAACACACTAAGCAGCCGCGTCCCGGCCATGAGAGTCGCTCCAGTTGCTAATGGGAATGGTACTACAGCAGGTAGTAGAGGTAGCACAGCTCGTCTGAGTATCCCCGCTTTCACCGACCATCGAATGAAGAAGGATGCCTTGGTTTACTCCCATGGAGGTCGTCATAGCAACGTTTCTCTGCAGGATAACCAGGATTATTCTCGACCCGTGTTGCGAGTAAGTCGGCCGTCCTCTCCCCCCTTACTTCGATTCCTCGGAAATCGATTCCCTGTACTAACGAGATGCAGTTGACGAACCCCGACCCGGATGACCGTTGATCGGATACGTTCTGCTTCCAATTCCGTCACGACCAGGATATCAAATATCCTTTTTTTAACGATCCAGTCACACTTCAGTTCGAGCGCGTCTACCTCTTCTTCGGCATGCTGCTACCTTCTAACGGCCGTCTAACCCCCCTCCTCTACCCTTTGCCTTTCGCACCGATCCCATTCGTCGTATCTCAGAAAAGCCCCCTCAGCGTCCCTTACGATCGTCCTCGAGAGCACACCCGACCGCTCGAAATATTACAAAAAAAAAAAAAAAGCTGATACCCCCTCATATTCCACTTTTCGAGATTGTCCATCATCCTCTCCTATTCCCATCAGACATCTTCTTCTCCGTCTATTTCCTTTCTAAGATACCAAGATCTTTTCCTTACACCCCTTTCACGATGCATTTACTCGAACTAGCAACAATCATTGGCGTCAAACCGGAACTGTAAATCATGGGAATCAAGGCACTACGGGGGGCTGTTTTTGCGTTATCTGCTCTGCTCCCTTTTTTCGTCTCCGCCATTCGGCTTTGTCTTTCACATACACACACACACACAAAAAGCCCTGCATGCATCCTGGGATTCACTTTTATTCCTTCGATCCCGTCGCTCTGTACCACAACCAAAGCCCGCACATGAAACCAATCGGTTCAACTACCATCGACCCAGAACAACATTCTACAACAGCAACATATGACAAACAGACAGGACAGGTCGACCATCGGAATTAAGTGAATTGTGTTTTTTTTTTTTTTATCTTCACTTGTCTTTTATTTTATCTTCCTTGCTCATTTTAAGTGGGAGGGAGGCTCAAAAAGACCCCCCAGACTGTCTGGTGGTTCCAGCAGCAGCAGACTTCATTTCTAATGTCCCCCAGACGTGCTACCTTTTGCGTTTTAAATAATCCTTTGAAAGAGACCCAAAGACCAGAGAAATATTTCAAAATCCAAAAAAATTGTTAATATGTTCAATCTCGCTTTTTGCTTCTGTTCTCCAAGACTGGGAGTAAGAATTCTTCCCCGACTCTTGCCGGATAGCTTATTGATCCTGTGTGACTTGCTGAATCGTCGTGCCCTGCATTTGCCGGAAAGACACCCCAAGCGAAGGATGTGTATGCATGGTAAGGATGTCTCGGTGAGTTTGCCGAAGAATCAACTGTCTTGTCCTGTCTTTCCGCCGCCCTGGTGGAGATCGTGTGGCAGGGGAGTCCTGGATGATCGACGGCTTGTCGTCACTCTGTTCCACAGGAGGTGTGCAGCATGTCTCATCAGATGGAGCAGGCAGGACGTCGTCTGCCTATGAGCAGAGATGCTCGACGTTTTGACGTTTCATGGCTTGACCGTGGGGGTTGTTGGTTCGAGCAGTCGTAGCAGACATGGTTAACCTTGATGGATTGATAGGCGGAGGCCGACATTCTCAACTTTGAGATGGATGGCTGATCAAGTGGGAAAAAAAAAAAATTGAACATTTATTTATTGCTAAATTAGCTATAGACCGTAAAAAAAGTGAGAGATATACTATAAAAATAAATTCGCATCTATCATTATTCGTTTCTGAAAGCGGTTGTGAAATGCCAACTGCAAACCTCTCGTCCCTGTACTGGTAGACTGACTACCGTCCAACAAACCTTTTCTCGATAGTCCGGAAGATAAAGTAGGTAAAGGCAGTAAAGACGGTGTTCAGAATAAGACCTACATCACCTGCTGGATTGCCGAACATGGCAGCAATGGGCCCGATATACCAGGTTGTGTTCATTCCGGGGACAGCGCCAGTACCGTAGGACACAGCCATTGCTCCCACGGCTGCCACACCCCATGGAAGCCCGTTTTTGTTATCCCACGCCTGCAAGTCGTACCCATCTCGCCTCCTGAACCATTGGTCCTCGATGAACACAATGACGGAGTAACCGGCGGTCAGATATCCAAGCATATTTCCAAGGTTTCCAACCAGCTCAACAATGTGATCTTTGCCCAGCAAAGAGAGCACAGTGATGAGCACCGCGATGAGCAAACTCCAGATGAAACGTGGGATGTAGCGGAAGTGTTGACCCAAGATCTGAATTGACAGGCCGGCGGAGTAGTAGTTTGCGATCAAGCCTCCGATAACGGTGAATAGCATCATGACAACCAGGAACTTGGACCATCCGACAGGGTGTGATATTTCCGCTACGATTCCTCCCAAGCCATGCATGGCATATGATTCCTGGAAGTGGGCTTCCCCATGAATGGCAACAAGTCCAACGCAGGACCCGACAATGGCCACAAAGGCAGACGAAGCGGAAAACCCGAGGAGGGTCAATAACATGATTTTCCAGTGAGGAGCTGACTTTGGGTAATGGCAGTAGTAGTCGCCGATGGCTGTAGCCCAGCCAGATGTACCCGCTGCGGTGAACGATGTGTATGACAGGAAAATAGGTGCGAAGCCTTCTCGGTGAGGATTAAACTGTATCATTTCGGAGGTCAAGTGTGGCACTGTTTGTCCAAGGAGGACACAGAAAAGTATAAATGCAAGTATCCATGAGTAACTCTCGAACTTGTGGATAAGTGAGAAGCCGAAGAAAGAGATAAAGAGGGACAAGGCGGAGACAATATAGATGCCGACGCTGGTCGAGATTCTGTAGTCTGCGGCGGCAGGGAGTAACTGGCCGCAGACGGTGGTACTAATGACAGCGTACCCGATACCCAAGAGCAAGTTCAAGATAGATATGACTTTAGCACCATAATAGCCGAACGAGTATCTGCAAGTCGCCATGGAACGCAGTCCAAGCTACATAAGGGGAACATGTCAGCCCGAGCACAAAATAATAGACTGTGGGAGAACTCACCTTTGCGCCCAGTACACCACACCATGCAACCAAGAGTGCCCCTATAATGGTACCGACAATAGTAGCAATTACCGACTCCTGTAGAGAAAGCCCCCATTGCGCTCCGAGGACACCTATGGGGAGGCCTCCAGGGTTGCAAAACATACTCCACCACATGAGGAATGTGTTTCGAAGAGGTGGTGGCTGCTTATCTTCTTCCTTTACCCGTTCAATTCCTCGAGTCTCAATGTGGAATTTTCGACCCAGCCATAGTTCGAATTGCCGAAGACTGCGCTCAATCTTGAGGGTCTTGATGGGAGGAGTCTCACTCGATGAATCGTCAGACCGGACCGAATCCCCATTATGGGCTTCGGCCTTCTGGTCCAAAGACCCGGGATTTTCAAGGTCAACTTGGAACCCATTGTTGTTGTTCTCCTCTTTGAGGTTGGAGTTTTCCTTGATTGAGGAAAGCATTGTGCCGGAGAACAATAGAGGAAAATTCTCTCCCTAGCAGTCTGGCATTGAATGGGCTAGGTGAGAGGGAGGTAAACTCTTGCTAGATTTCCTGAAATCCAGCGAGGAAAGGCTCTGTTCTATATACTCCGTATCTTCTGCATTAGTTGTACATTACTGAGAGAGGTCCCACCGTCCCTTGCCATCACTTCAGCGGCGTCATCATACAAGGCAACCCTTGCCTTGCTAGAGAACAGCATATCAATATCCAATGGGAATATCTTTTGGCATCGCCTACAGATTTCCCGTTCAAATCCTGACGACAACTGCAGCACCGTGGCCCATACTTTTTAAGTAAGATATACGGTCTTGAGTAACGTCAACAGCATGTTAGGCGTAGTCGGTCTGGATAGAAATTCAAGGGAGGGTATTTTGAGCCAATGGCTGCATTCGAGGAATCGTCTCAAATTTAGGCTAACAATTTAGACTCTCTGGATTCCGCATTGCAGGACAACGAGAGGATCTCGTAAACGCCGCACTGAATTATAAGGAGAGAATCCAGGGCTGATGGCCCAATAACTTGTCCTGCCATCTTAGAATTTCGTCCCTTGATGCGAGTGGGGGTTGATGCTCCATCGGTAGGACCGATATTCTCGAGGCAATATTGGCTCCACGCCTCAAGAAGCTTGTCTGGAAGCCATGAAATCAAGTGCTTCATGGGCTGCACCCAAGACTATCCTCCAGCCGCAGCCATGCCAGACGATGCATGCAGCGAAAAAGCAAGAGGGGAAATGGCTCGCTGAGGGAACATGCCCCCAGTCGAGAAAGCGAAGCGTGGTAGACGGGACCAGTGGCTGCTTCAGCCATGAACTAGTCAGCCCTCCATGTGAGCTGTGCGAAAACTTCTCCCTCCCTCCCAAAATATAGCCAAATTTTCAGTCATTATTGAAGGGAGGGTAGTTTTTGCCCTCAAGCCATGATGCCTGGCTCTCACAAGGCATTGGTTAGTTGACTACTTATGGAGTGAATCTGCAGAGATATGCTCGAGTGATATCACATCGGTGCGACGCTGGTGGCAGAGCTCGAGCGTGTTTCAGCTGGACTCAATTCCCAGAATGCCCTAGATATGGTAGCATATCCCCATTTCTCAACTTTCCCGTCCCGAAAGACGAGCAAAACAAGAAGCCATCGCAGAGCTTCTCGTCATGTTTTTATATCCAGCGAAAAATCACAAACGCAAACAAACAAAAGTTGAGATGGAAAAATCCGACATCACGTGCAATCAACGTCTGTTTTAAGCCATCAAAAAGACCACTTACCTGATCGGGCGATATCATCCAGCTGACAAGGAGACGAGAAGACGACAGCGAAGAAGACAGCGAAGACTGCCTGCGAGGGATGAACACAAGAGACGAAAATGATGAGATCGGTTCGCGGTTTGTGACAGGCCAGCCACAGCATCGCTGCAGCATGGTCGTCCTGACCAACAGAGACAGATGCAGTCCATTCTTACCCCATCCCTGACGGGGGTATCAACATTTATATGTCTTCTCGGGAACCAAACTTATACCTAGAATGTGATCCAAGAATCCATTTTTTGTGGATTGTTTGATAGCTGTTTATGTGTCGCGGATCCACGGGCATAGTATCTACCAAAGCACGAGACAGCATCCATGGGATATTCCAAAACATGAACATCATCTACACGGATACATTGTTAACCCACCAAATGGCATATCAGATACCAAGCTACTCGATGATTGGACGTAGCAGATGCCATTTCTGCGGGATAAGATAGATTTGATGCTGGAATCAAGATATATTGAGGTCATGCTGTCCGGGTATATGGGTTCCTGAGCAGGATTATATTACCCCAGCCTAGAATTTGATATGCTAAAACAATTCCGAAGCTTTATAGACAACTCTGCGGAAACCATCATTAAGCAATGTGTACGTCGTATTCCTATGGGTTTATTTCCGACCTGGCACCTTATTCAATAGAACTATCTAAACCCCGGACTGATTGGCGGTTAAAACTGGAAAATAATCGCATGCATCGGGTTGCACAGCGAAGGAAGTTGTATCACCGATTCGACTCATAAATTCTAGACTGTCTTCCTGGGCCAGAACTTCATTGCAAGGAACCGGTGCAATTTATGTGGAATCAATGCGTCCATACTGTAGATCTGAGCCCCTTTTTCAAAAACTGAAAGAAAAATGGCATTGCTAACGGTACCTCAGTGATTATTTAGTACTATAGAGACAACCTAGGCGGTAGCCATAGCTTATTTACTGTTGTATAAGCAGATTATCATCCGAGATTTATCAAAATTTTGAATAAAATGCTGAATTCATGCTTCAAGTATAGTTGCCTGTTCATTTATTGGACCTTCCAATTGCCATTGCCTTCATTTCTTGCCCTGTTGCGGCGTTGTACTAACAAAGTCAGAATAATCAGATGGCAACGCTGTCTCAGATATGCCGTATAAAAGGCTTGAACATGTGAAAAATATCACTGGTCTTTTGGTTCGTTGCCTTTGAACCCGGAGGACAGCCTGAGGAACAGTTTCCCCCCTCCATCGGGGTTAGAGTAGCGTTCCTGCGACCGCTCCATGTCACGCTGCAACAAGACTGGTGGCGCATCCCGAAAGTCGCCGTGTTACGGGGATTGTCGTAGTATAACTCGGAAGTGCTCCAATCTGCATCAGCGGCCTCGGCCAGACAGAGCTTTAGCTAGGTAGAACATATTTTTTTATGTTTCAAGGGCCTTTGATAAATCACGGACTGGCGGTGTTTTCTTCGCCATTCTCCCCCTCTTCCTTGTCGTCTTCCTTTTCACTTTCTTCATCTAGATCTTCTAGCTCGTCATTCAAAGGGCTGATCCGTTCGTCGAGCATATCCAAATCTTCCAACATGGTTCTCGTTGGTATCTTCCATAAACTAGTTCCACACACGCGATCTTTCGTGAGTAGATCGTCAACAAACTGATCCATGTAGGTTAGCAAGAAGCCTTCCTTGGTGCGTCTCTTCAGCTTCCTATAATCCGTCAAAAGAGGTTCCAGCGTTTTATATATCTCCACTGGCTCGAAAGTAAGTCGTATATAAAACGCTGCTAACGCGCGCAGGTATTTGAAATCCCCCGTAGCTTTTAGTATTGCTGCATCAGCTCTGTCCTGTGCATCCTCTGCACCCCCATCTGCATCCGTGCTATCCCTCCTAATATTCGAATCCTCCTCATCTGCTTCCGGATCGTGGAAATTCAAATACTCCAATATCACTTCTTTCTCTGGTGCAAGTTGTAGGAGCTTGAAAGCAAGGCAGAGGAAAGGAGTTGGCTTCTGGCCCACGCCGTAGGTGCCGCCGATATAGGTTAACTCGACCGCTCTGTCGCAGAGAGTCGCTGCATTCAATCCGAAACACTGCTCTTTCCAATAGTAGGAGTCTGTTATTCGATCTCGAACTGCTTTCTCGAAGAGTGTTGCTGGGTTCACGCCGCGAATCAGCGGGCCCGAATAGCCACGAGTATCAAGAAGAGCACTGGCATCTGCGCGATGATGAGACATCCTTCGGTTCGATTTCGTGCAGTTAATCGGTAAGATATGTTTCGAACGCGGGAAGAAAGGTCACAAACCGATTCTCGGTGAAATGGATGCTGGCGACCTGAAGAAATCGAAGCTTGGCGGTATTTTATCGTCGGCATCAAATTAAAGTTGGCAGGCTTTATCGATAAGCCGGTTGCCCTTCCAACCGCCATCTCAGGGCCCGTTGGCGATAACTCACAACGCTGCGACATGGGCTTCAAGGTCCTATGAGGCAATGGGTCCATGATTTCAACTTACTTATAGCATCCAAAGCATCTCGTTTACATTTTTATTGTTTTTATTTCTATCTCTCCTAATGACACCGCTGTATTCATGCTCCGCGCCCGCATAAACCTTTGTTTACATCATGGTATTACTTAGCTCTTCTACCGTTGGAGTCGCATTATCCTCGTCAATATTCGGATTTTTCACGCTTATTCTCTTTTTATCCGGGTATGCCTTGCAGCAGCAATCGGTAAAGCATATACAGGTGGCATTACAGCGATCACCAGCAGCAAATCCCAAAATCCAACCGATATATCCTTCGGAGCAGACATGGGATGACGCCAACCTATCTTCCGAGACAGTCGCGAACCCTGACACCAAAAGAAAGGGCCATATCTTGGGCAGACGGACAAAATTAAGCCAAGGAATAGACCAATATGCGCTGGATGGGCTCGCCGAAGGAAACGAGGAGTTCGAGGGAGGGATAGTCAAGTCAAAGCATGCGTTCTTACAAATCTTGACAAAACCTGTTGCCTCCGACATTTGCTCTACTATACTCCTTTTCGAGAGACTTGCATCAAACAGCTCTCAGGCCTCGGAGAGAATTCTTCTATATCCAAAGGCATGGGATGCTAGCTCTCCAACTAAGAGCGTCTCATCCGCTCTCACCATCCTGAAGAAGTCAAGTACTAGGTTGAATGCTGTTGTTCATGGGGTTGATACCTCTAATATACGGCCTAAGGCATTATCAGAAACGCAGATGATGAAAAAGGCATCAGAACAGCTACTTGATTACGAGCGGGTTCTGTTTTTGCGCTCTCCTGGCCATATCGTCAATATTGATAAGTTGGACCAGATGCTTATATCTGATATCGTGAGGACCATGCGAGTGGGGTCCTCTAGCATGATTGCACCTACCTGGGTATCAACTCATCTCTCTATAACCCAACACCAGTTACCTCCTGCGTTATTAGTGGCCAGTGAGACTTCCATTGGCACGAGTGGCAAAGCACCATCCAAGCCTCATATTCTAAACTCGGAAACAATGCAACAGATGAATTATGTCATGGAATCATCCGAGTCACCTGGAAGACACCCGGGCCCCGCATATGTCTACTTTGAAAGCGGCATGGTACATCGAGGCGGAAGGGCGGACATGCATTATACTGAATGGAAGAAGCAAGTCCAGTCTGTCTGTGAAGGTGTTAATCTCGGCCTTTAATTTCATATTGTTATGCATTAGAGGTGTGGGGGCTGCTTTATGATTTGCTGGCCCTGTTGAAAGGTCAAGTTGGAGGTGGCATATTCGGTATTTATCAAGTATTCCTATGGGTTACGGAATGGATGGAATTTGGGTGGCTTCTTTGGAATATTTTTTATTGATTTTTATGCAAGATATCCGAATATTTAATGCTGACCTGTGAACATGATGATATATATAACGAATTTAATAAATATACTTGAATGAGGCGAGAGGGTTTTAGGAATAGCTCATAGACAGCATTCAACGAAGCTATATTAAAAGGATATTGTATAGTGAAGTATACACGCATGCTAATACATTGGATTCCCTCCTCTTTTAAATTGAATATCTCCTAGAAAAAGCTGTAGGATGAGAATAAATAAAAGCATTGACCTCGGCAGAAACGCCATCCACCGACCAGACCTGATAGAACCCATAGAATGATAAAAAGGGACATCACAATATCTGTTGATGCCAGCCGGTGAGCAACAACAAAAATTAGATAACAAAAAAATGAAAAAAGGTATCAGTAAGATGTAGGATGTTGTTAGATGCTGATGATTAAATCAGGGAAGGGAAATAGGCAGCACATAGAATATGTGTTCTAGTTAGGATTAGGACTGTAGGGCGGATATTTCATAACCAAGAAGGACTTCTGTCGTTGATCCTTCCCATCCTCGGTTTCCACCGGTAGAAATCAAGTACTTGCAGGCGTTATCCATGTAAAGCTGGGAAATGGTACCTGTACGATGGCCGGGTATAATGAGGAAGGGAACCGAAGATCTAGAGCTCTGCTCTTCCTTCAAGTCATACAAGCGTAGAATATCGTGAGAAGCGCTATCAGTACAAATAATATATTAGTAATCCGCAAGAGAGATCGTCATGTACATAAATGACATGAAGAATGAGTAAAGGTTGAAGGAGTAACTTACCAGATAAGATGTCGCCCATTGGGCATTATTTTAACAGAGGATACTGCACCACTTCCATGTGGGAATTTAAAGGTTCTCTGGGGATCCCGAAGGCCTTTGTGTAAACTATACTCCTCAACAGTACCATTTCGTCTGCCGGCGTAGATATAATTGCCATCAGGAGACCAGCAAGCACTCATACACCATGGTGGACTGTTTCGCGGCGTTATGCGGGCAATAGGATCCGATTGCCTACGATCCCACACTCGAATCGTCCCATCTATAGAAGCAGACAGGAAAGTGCTATTAGAATTTCCGAGGGAATTCATGTCACTCGCGGTGGCGCCTTTCTCCATGGTTGCTGCTGAAGACTCCATATCTTCGGCGTGTGGGAGGCCACTCATTACGGAGTCAGATATCCCATTGACCTGTGAGTCTTCTGGTTCTTGCTTAGTTGTTTGAAGCTGGCTAGTGGAGCCTGATTCGGGGATATTTTCTATCAGCGACTCCGAATTTGAGACGATTCCATTAGGCATTGCATTTGAAGTGCTATCGTCTGCATCTTTTCGTGGCGCCTGTTGCTTTTGTTTTATCCCATTAGCCAGCGCCTGGGAGAACTCATCGTCTTCTGCTGCAAATGCGCCACCAGACGGAGCGTCAGCATCACCACCACCCTCTGCATCTCCAAAAAGCGAGTCCGCTTCAAATAGAGAATCGGCAGGAGATCCAGCCTGGTCGCCAATCTGCCCATCTTTATTATTCCCTCCACCGTTAACAAAACTTTGGTTGGTTGATGGGGCAGCACGGTTATTAGATGAGTATGTGCCATTTGTTAGTGGCTTCTCCACAATCTCCCGTGGGACGGGGAGGCTTGATTCAGGACGGAATTCAATGGCCGAAACTTGTCCAATGCTTGGCCCAAAGGTACGTTTCACTTTTCCAGTATCGAGATCCCACTCCAGCGCTCTCTTATCCCAACTGCCTGACAAAAGCGATCTCTCGTCGTGGGTAAGAGATAAGACTGATACGGCAGAGGTATGCTGTTTGAGTACCGCAATTTCTTTACCCTCATCATGACGAACTGATTGTAATCGAATAAAGCCCGATTCTAAACCCGTAAGAAGCCATAGTCCTTCGGCTTGAGCTGCAAGGGAGTATACTGGCGACATTGCGGTACCATCCATGTTCTCCCAGTAATTGACCAAGACGCCAGCCTTCACAACGCTGTCGACAAATGGATGGCGCTGAGCAACAGTGAGCATGAGCTTGCTGTTGATAGAATCGACCCAATTAAATCTTCTCACGTATCCATCCGAGCCACCGGTAAATACCCAGCGCATATCGGCTGTTGAAGTGACAGCATTGATGGAAGTGCTATGGGGAGCAGCTGTTGTCGGCACAATGTCATACGTTGCAGCAGTCAGCACCTCTGGACGGACCTGTGGCCTGTACATAAAGGGCTGATCGGGAACTGGATCGAGCGCAGGGGCAGTAATTATCACTTCAGGATTTTGTGCGTTTCTAGCATGGTGCTCCGAATCGACAACACTGGAATTCGAAGGAGAATTGGGCTCGGGTTCGGGCTCAGGCTCGGGCTCAACATCAACTTCCATGTCATCCATGTCTTGCATGGTATCGTCCATGCCGCCATCCGAGCTGCCATCTTGAGATCCTATTAGAGTGATAGAACGTATTAGCTCTGCGCCATTCTTGCTATCGCCGCGGGGCTTTGCTAAGTTGCCAATCTCACCGATCAAATCTCGATCATCGTCGTCATCTAAAATTGAAGGCATTGCGAATCGACTCTGGGGGGTTTATATTCGATACCGCTCTATATAGCAGATTGAAGAGGGAGGAAGTAGGTTATTGATTCGGGGTGGTATCAAACTCCGGTGCGCCAGGAACTGGGTGTAAAATATAACTTGCACAGCAGGCTTCCGTGAGTAAAGAACGCATTGTCTTTAAAGAGGCTACATGCGCCCGTACAGACAGCAAATTAAACAGGACGTAAGAAGTCCTAATGGTCGCATGAGGAAGTCCCTGGTCGCCTTCTCGAATGGCGCAAAGAAAGCCGTAGAAGAGGTTAGCCGCGACTGGGCGCTTTGGGCGCTTCGGGCGCCTAATGGCGCTTTTGGAAAAATCTTAATCCGACTATCTGTCCCGTCCACTTGACGAGATCCATTTTCCATTCGACTTGAACTTGTCAACCATGAGACGAAACATGCTGAGCTGCCGTATACGCTTTTGACCTTTTTTAGAGAATATATCCTGTTGGCTGCCGCTACAAACCATGCATATGTATATATATACATATCAACTTCCCTTCTGAACCCGTAGCGTGGCTAACCCGCGAATTTCTGCGTTTGCTAGACATCTTTGGCCTGTTTATTACTTGAGAAGATCAAATATGCTGATTATGTCTCATTTTTCCACCAATCAATTAGATCATAGATGCAGTATCCCGCATCTTGATTTTATTTCACCAATTCTTTTTTTTTCTTTACTGAAGATAAAGAAAATTGTCCCAACTTACCCCCTTGTTACCAAGGGCTTTCTCTACTTGTATCTGATAATAACATCAAGTACTAGCAACGTTAGTCCCCTTACTTTCTATCCCATCTTTCTGCCCCCTTCTAGTACCTTCTTCTCAAAACCTTGCTTAGGCTGTGTTGTAGTATTGTGTCCTTCGCGATTGCCCTAGGACTAAGACACAACACCCATAAACGCCCTTCCTCTCACTTGTTCTCTCCTATCATTTATATTCAGTGCTTTGCTGTCCTCTATATACCGGCAAATTCCGCTCGCTTCACTCTTGGCTCGCTTTGTTTAGTTAATTTATATCAACCATTTCCTCTTTTCTGCTTCTCCTCTTTTGCTCTGTTTCCTGAACCTGCTCTATCCGACATCAACATCTCAAGGTTTCATGTTGGTGGTTCAAATTACCACATGGTTTGAGGGTTCTTTGGCCATTTTCTCAAGGCTTGTACCACTATCGCAACCTAGACTGAGGCAGTGATGCGAGGTCCAGCGATCCAACGCGGTAGGGGCCGCAGTCGAGGCCGAGGCCGAAGTTGGCCTGCGAATTCTCACTCGCTCAGTGAAGTTCACCCAACAGTTCATATTGATAAGGAGATTAAGGAATATGTTACCAGCTCAGATCACTCTGGTACACCTGGAACTTGGACAGCTAATCCTGAACTACCCTCTTCTGAGGAGATTCTGGGCCTTGACGATGAAGAAGTGATCTCACTTGGTGTCAACCAGATTTACGGCCCTTGGCCATCAAAGGATACTTATCTCAAGACTCACTACGAGCTACTTCGCGAGGATGCAGTTGCGCCGTTACGAGATGCAGTTGCATATTTTCGTCATGATCCAAAGATGTCTGACTCATCTCAATGCTGTATTTATGAAAAGGTAACTACTTTTCCAAGGATTAATAGGCAGGACCAATTTTAACGCAGCGTCTAGGTTCATATCGTTGGGGTAACGTTTGCACAAGCTGGAATTGCCGCTAGGATCCAATTTTCGACTTTCAGAGCGGGAAAAAAAATCGTGTGGGAATACTCAAAGCGTCTAATGACAGGAAATATTGTTGCATTGTCTCCAGCAAGTGATTCCTTCCAGAACAAATGCATTGTAGCCACAGTTGCTGCGAGACCATTAGATGGCTTGAAGGCGTCCCCGCCGGAGATCGATATATTTTTTGCGCGTCACGAAGACTTCGAATTTGATTATCAACAGGAATGGGTTATGGTAGAAGCCCGAGTTGGGTACTTCGAAGCTTCCAGGCATACCCTAAGTGCTCTACAGAAGATGTCAGGCGAGAGGTAAACTGTCATCCCCTGTGCTGCAAAAAATATCACGATACTAATAGTTAAAAAATATAGCTTTCCACTTTCAGAGCATATCTGTGACCTTAAGCCTTCAATCGAGCCTCCACAATATATAAAAGATGATCCATTGGTCAATATGTCCAGCGTGCTACCCTCTAAGGAGGGAGACCTTCAAAAGGTTAATACCAGTATCGGATGGCCTGCGCACCCCGATACTTTGGATTCTTCTCAG